TATTCATTGTTTCTGTTGATTTATTTTGGATATTTATAACCTCGTCCAACTCCAGAGTTAAATGTTCATTAGAATCTAAAGCTTACTGATTTATTTAACTGGAAAATGGTCTCAAAACAACAATATTATCATTTGTCACAGTAACGTCTGGAACAATTTATCATCCAGTAAAATGGATTATTGTGACAGCAAGATATAGGCGCTTGTTTTAAGTCAATAAAATTCATTAAAAATGATGAATATTTCATTCATCATTTTTAATAATTCATTAAAAATGATGAAAAATAATAGTTTCATTGGCAAATTATTTCATGTATTGTTTTTTATACTATCGGTGAAATGATTGGCCATAAATATGAAGGAATTAGTGACTTAAAACAAGCGCCTATATCTTGCAGAACCTGATGTTCTAAACTACCTGATGTTCTAAACTAAAACAATATGCACTGGATTTTATTACCAAATAAAAATAATAATAATAGTTTACACTTATCACGTTCATGTTTCAGGGGAGAAAATAAAAGTTGGTTTCAAAAAAGTTGTTCCTCAGATTTGAAAGTTTTTTTCATACTTTGCAGGTCTGGAGCCGAACGGAGCAGCCGGCGGCTAACATTAGCGCTCTCAAACGTTACCTGCATTGAAGTTTATGATAACCTGAAGCAGCCGCCTCATGCTGCGTCCCCGTTCGGGTGGGCGAGGCTGCCAATGAGCGTCCTCCCTGCAGACGCACTCACAGCGTTTCTGTCAGCAGCAGCAGCTCTCTGCTCTGCCTCACAGGAAGCCAAACAGCTCCCCTCCTCAAAGTGCTGCTTCTACCTGCTGTCATTCACACAGCTGCTTTTTCTCTGCTTGATCTTTTCCAATATGACTCACACTGATGTAAAGCGGAGCTGAACTAAGAAATCCTCCTGAATTTGGTGAATTAAAAACTTTCTCTTTTTTTGATAACCGGGATTCGACCTCAGTAGTTGACATATTGTAGTTTCATCATTAACTGTCTTTTATTCACGTCTTTCTTCCAACAATCTTCTCCAAAGAGGAAATTATTATTCCTGCACATGATTAGAGCTAGAATCTGATCATTTGATTAATTTGTTCATTATTTCATTATAAATGACAAGAACCAGGGCTCAGCATGAGGTAAAATTAATACCTCATGCTGAATTTTTAGATAAACTCACAGTTATGACTTATTATTAATATTATATTCAATATTCATTTTAACATTTGTGTGGAGAAAAATCAGACGTTTTTTTGGACTGAGTTTAGTTAAAAACAAGCCTGAAAAATAAGCAAGAAATGATAAAAACAACCCAAAAAATGTATCTTGTGGTGACTGTGGCATTCATCTTAGTAAAACATGTATTAGGTTTAATAATACATAAAAAGTCATTTGTCTCATATTTTGTTCAAAAATATAAACTAGCTTTTATGCTTTCTGTGTTTGTCTTATTTGTCCTAAAACAGTTTTTCATGCACTGGAAAAACTAAAAATCTTACCAAGTATTTTTGCCCAGGTTTGCTTCATACACTTCAAATAAGTAAAAATTAACTTACAATTCACGTTTTCAGCAAGACATAGAAAATAATTTATTAATATTTATGGAAAAATACTTGGCAGATTATTTTGTTTATAATATTTCATCTGTGTGACTTTATACTATCAAAATAAATAAGATTTCTGTAGAACAAAATGTTGAAACAATGAATTATAAACTGGAAGGAAAGTGTGGAAGCATCACCTATAAGGACAAAATGTGGATGGAAAACATGAATGTCTCCTGAATGACTAATTTAATTAATCAATTATACCAGCAATTATTGCGATAAATGATAATATTGTTGTTTTGAGATCATTTCAAATAATATACTGATGGTAGCATAATCATGCAAGGTTACCCTCTCAAAGACCAATAAGCAAACAACCAAACACATTAAATAAACAGGAAATAAAAACCACAAAACCATAAATAAGACGGATTACACGACTTCCTATTCTGTCTTGTTAATTTGTAGTTGAGCTTAGTGATTTGTTGATGCAGTTTGCCCTTCAGAGCCACCGTAGGTTCAATCAGTAGTCAGATTTTCCCATCATCAATACAAGATTTTGATGAGAAGTAATGCACCACAGGATGGAACCAGCTCTTGTGACAGAAGCTTCTGGAAACACAGCGAATAGACGCCATAATCAAAGCTAGAGCTTTTCTGAGAGACCTTGTTCTTGTTGGCCTTGTCCAGGTGGCGTATGCTGCTTTTACAGCTGAAAATCACAGGGCTTTATTTTTGAAAGTTCAGCAGTGTTACACTCACTTTCACAATCAGCAACACTCCTGCAGGCATTAGGTGGCAGAGGAGGTGACGGTTCAACGCCCGACAACAGCAGCAGCAAAGAGCTCAGAGCAGATAAACCCAGGGAAGACGAAGGATGTGGGGATAAAAACTCAAACTTCAAAATCAGATGATAATGGAGGGTACTGTTTTAGTTTAGCTGTATGCTAACAGGGCTGTTTCTAGCTTTATGGGGGCCCTGAGCAAGATGCTGTTTGGGGGCCCCAAGTTTATCAAACTACAATGAAAAGATTCCCAACCGAAACACGGACTTCCTTTAAATCAAAGCTAAATTCTGTGATATCTTTAAGTCTGTAGTGCAATTTTATTACCCTTTGTTATGTCACTGCAACTACTTTCTGCTTTCATCATGTAAAGCACTTTGAATTACAGCCTCAACTAAAAATTACTTCAATTAATCTGTTTTTAGAAACAGACCAAAGCATTTCAGAGAAAGACATCTGAGTGAAAACTGCATCAAACATCGGCTCTGAGGAAGTTTTTAAAAAGTTCAGCAGCAACTTGGGATTTCATCAAACAGCAACGATTTCATGAAAAACATGATTAATCTTCCCTTCAGAAACCCGAAGAGTCCAAAGTCTTTCTTTCAGCTCTGCTTAAAACCAGGGAGTATTGATCTGACATGACGCTCTGATGCTTCCTAATAGGTTTCAGCAGCACTAGCAGACAGACACTCCTCCTTACATGCATCACAGGCGAGTTTGATGACTCTGTTTATTCATTCTGGTAGAGGATATTGGTGCAGCTAGAAAACTCCAATTCAAACTCTTGCAAAAGCAGAAGGGAAATGAGAAGATTTACAGTCTGTCTACAGCATCTACGTTCAGCGAGAAATCATTCTCTCAAACTTCTGGGTTACTGACAAAAAGTTCAAAACATTAGTGAGTAAATAAGCCTCTGTTTATGCATGCTAAGCTGTTTCAAATGATGCATTAGACTTAAACAGAAATGGAAGCAGTAATTTCACCGCTTTCATTAGCTTGTAAATTACCTCCATTGTCTTATCAACGCGTCGTCAGGGCAGACGGCCATGTCTGCCTAACAAACACCTGTAATTTGGACGCATTTCTGAGGCAAACATCTGCATATATTATGCAGATGAAACTCGGTAAAATCTGAGGAGGTTTTAGAGCGAAGGCGCCGTCATTTCTGCTGCGGCACAAACTGATCCTGACTGGCAGCCAAAGGAAACCAACCTCTACAAACAAACAATTACTATTTTCATCAAGACTTTGGCTATTTATTTTTTCAAATAATAAAGTATTTTTATATGACTTTGTTTAACCTGCCAAAACACATGCTATTGTTCAAATGAGATGTTTTTGTAAATGAGTTGAGACTATAAGTGGGGTGCAACTCTACATGTATTCATATTCGGTTTTCCCCAGACATCCATCATGAGTGTCTGCATGCTGGTAATGAATACACCAATCACAGAAACCATCAGAATATACATTTTCACAACAAAGAGCAATGTAGAAACTTTATTCAATCTAACCGCTAATTAAAACGTTGATCATAAAGCATTAATTTACTAGCACTTTACTGTGCTAATGCTAAAGCTAAGGCTAAAACTCTAGTTTTATTGTTGTTGAGTCCTTGATGAATTTTCCAAGTGACCATGATCAGAAACGACATCAGCAGATTGTTTCATTGTTTCGCAAAGCCTTGAAGCAATGCATTCTGGGTGAAGAATAAACGCTGCACCGCATCACAAGAGGCGAACCGGCAGATTTGTTTATTAGCAGCCCTGTTAGTTGTTTGTTCTTATAAGTGAAGTATTATTCTGTAAACCTCATACCTTCTTTTTATTTTTGTCATTTGTTCTATAAAGATTCTTGGAAGAAAAGGAGACAAAGAGACGAAAAGCATCTGGTGTGTTAGCATCCTAGTAAAATATAACTGAATCTGATTATATTTTCCTACGTGAGTTTTTCTTGTAAGCGGTAACAGATGCAGGAAACAAACTATGCATCATGCAGAAAACTCTGGTCTTCCTCTGACCTCTCATGACGAAGACGTTCAATTATTGAAAGGGTCTCGAAAAGGAAACGTTGGAGTTTTGAAAGTTTGCAAAACTTTGGTGGCAGAAACTGAGCCGTGTCTAGTTCTGCTTTCATAAATAAAAAAATGTAATTCCATTTTTTCATAATAAAAAATTGTCTGACATGTGGTCTGCTGTGCGCTATGTAGTTCAAAGTGCAAAGACATTGTTTGAATGTTCAATGAATTTAGAAGTAAATGTTTACATGCAGACTTTCAATGCCCTTGTAACAGAGAGCAAAGTGTGCATAGTATGTCTGCACTCTAGAGAAAGTTTCACCCTGAGTAGCAAAGGGAGTTTATTTCCAATTTCTGTGTAGAAAACAAACAAGGTTTTAGTTTCTTTTTCACTCTTCTGCCACACCTGCATTAAATCCTCACATTTTTAATCAAATTTTTTTAGCATCACTTTCTCTTAACAATTTAATTTTTGTATTTTGAGAAATAAAAAAACAGAGCTGATTTTAACAGGATAAGTTTTTCATTTCAACTTTCCTCTAAATCTCAGAAAAAAAGGAGAATTACATTTAGGTAATGCAACATTTTTATCCTTTTATTGAACTGTAATCATTGTATTTCTGTGCTTTGTGACTGCAAGCTGTACTCACTGAGGCTGAGTGCAGTCCTGAAGGTTACACATTCGGCGGATCGGCTTCGGCTTCTTGTTTGCCTCACAGTATCCGCGGTGGACCATCTTTGTGTCTCCCTTCTTCCTACAGCCGTACTTGGTGTACTGAAACCCTGTGGGAGAGGAGACTCGCTTTAATTACGGATTGCTTGGCAGCGCATAAAAAGGAAGCAATTGACTCGAAGACATTTGTTAAATGGTTTAAACGGCAGCAATAATCAGCCACAGAGCTCCAGAAGCAGGATCGTGTTGTCAGACATAAATATCTCCACCTCAGCAGGGAAATCTTAGATTTTTATGTGCCCAGGCCCCCAAGGCTTAAAGTGGCTTTTATGAAATATATATATATATATATATATATATATATATATATATATATATATATATATATATATATATATATATAAAATAAAAAAATTCCCTTCTCACCCACCGCGGGTGGTTCTTATCCTCTGAGCCTGGGAGCTTGAGGGTTCTGCGCAGTATCTTGGCTGTGCCAAGGACTGCTGCACATTTCTGGACTGAGATGTCTGATGTTGTTCCTGGGATCTGTTGTAGCCACTGCTCCAGTTTGGGGGTTACTGCCCCGAGGGCCCCGATGACCACAGGCACCACTGTGGTCTTCACCTTCCAGGCCCTCTCCAGTTCCTCCCTGAGGCCCTGGTATTTCTCTAGTTTCTCGTGCTCCTTTTTCCTGATGTTGCAATCACTTGGTATTGCTACATCTACCACAACGGCTTTCCTCTGATGTTTATCCACTACGACAATGTCTGGTTGGTTCGCCATTACCATTTTGTCTGTCTGGATCTGGAAGTCCCACAGGATCTTAGCTCTGGCGTTCTCCACCACCTTTGGGGGTGTTCCCCACTTTGATCTTGGGGTTTCCAGTCCATATTCTGCACAGATGTTTCTGTACACTATGCCTGCCACTTGGTTATGTCGCTCCATGTACGCTTTCCCTGTATCAGTGCAGTGTGCTGCTGGACTGTCTCAGGGGCCTCCTTGCACAACCTACACCTTGGGTCTTGTCTGGTGTGGTAGATCTGGGCCTCTATTGCTCTGGTGTTTAGGGCCTGTTCCTGGGCGGCCAGGATGAGGGCCTCTGTGCTGTCCTTGAGTCCAGCTTTTTCCAGCCATTGGTAGGATTTACTGATATCAGCCACTTGGGTTATTTGCTGGTGGTACATCCCATGTAGGGGTTTGTCCTCCCATGATGGTATCTCTGGCACCTCAACCTCCGTTCCCTGTTGTCTGAGACATTCACTGAGCACATTGTCTGTTGAGGCTTTGTCCCTGATGTATTTATGGATCTTAGTTGTTTCGTCCTGGACAGTGGTTCTCACACTCACTAGTCCTCTGCCTCCTTCCTTGCGGCTCGTGTACAGTCTCAGGGTGCTGGATTTGGGATGGAACCCTCCATGCATTGTTAGTAGCTTTCTGGTCTTAATATCTGTGGCTTTTATCTCCTCCTTTGGCCAGCTAATTATTCCAGCAGGGTATCTGATTACTGGCAAGGCATAGCTGTTTATCGCACGGATTTTGTTCTTGCCATTGAGCTGGCTTCTCAGGACTTGCCTTATTCGTTGGAGGTATTTAGCTGTGGCTCCTTTCCTTGTGACCTCATCGAGGTTGCCATTTGCTTGTGGTATACCTAGGTACTTGTAACTGTCCTCTATGTCTGCTATTGTTCCTTGTGGGAGTGAGACCCCTTCTGTGTGGATGACCTTCCCCCTCTTTGTCACCAGCCGACCACATTTCTCTAGTCCGAATGACATCCCAATGTCAGTGCTGTAGATCCTGGTGGTGTGGATCAGTGAGTCGATGTCTCGCTCACTCTTGGCATACAGCTTGATGTCATCCATGTAGAGTAGGTGACTGATATTGGCCCCATTTTTGAGTCTGTATCCGTAGCCAGTCTTGTTGATAATTTGGCTGAGGGGGTTCAGGCCTATGCAGAACAGTAGCGGGGACAGAGCATCTCCTTGGTATATGCCACATTTGATGGACACTTGTGCAAGTGGTTTGCAGTTGGCTTCAAGGGTGGTTTTCCACAGCCTCATCGAGTTTGCAATGAAGGCTCTCAGAGTCCTGTTGATGTTATACATCTCTAAGCATTCAATGATCCAAGTATGCGGCATTGAGTCATAGGCTTTCTTGTAATCAATCCAAGCCATGCACAGGTTGGTGTGTCGGGTTTTGCAGTCTCGGGCAACTGTGCGGTCTACGAGGAGTTGGTGTTTGGCTCCTCTGCTATTTACACCGATACCCTTCTGTGCCGTGCTCATGTGTTTATCCATGTGTTTGCTTATCTTGGCCGCTATGATGCCTGACATGAGCTTCCAGGTTGTGGAGAGGCAGGTTATTGGTCGGTAGTTGGGTGGGACTGGACCCTTTGATGGATCCTTCTGGATTAGGATTGTCCGCCCTTCAGTTAACCATTCAGGGTGAGTCCCACTTTGTAGCAGCTGGTTCATTTGGGCTGCCATTCGCTCATGGAGAGCAGTGAGTTTCTTTAGCCAGTAGGCATGGATCATGTCAGGCCCTGGTGCTGTCCAGTTTTTCATACCTGAGACTCTTTCTTGGACATCTGTCACAGTGATGGTTACCGGGGCTTGCTCAGGGAGGTTGCTGTGGTCCTCTCGTAGAGAGATCAGCCACTGTGCATTGCTGTTGTGGGACGCCTCCCTTTCCCATATGCCTTTCCAGTATTGTTCCGTCTCCAGCCTTGGTGGGTCTGCTCTGTTGTTATTGTTACCCTGCCATTGAGAGTACACCTTAGCTGGTTGAGTGGAGAAGAGCCGGTTAATCCTTCTGGATTCATTCTCCCCTTGTGTATCTCTTTAGGCGGCTGGACAAGGCTTGGAGCCTCTGTTTGGCAGTCTCGAGTGCTTCAGGTATGGGCATCTGCCTGTACTTTATGGGTACTGGTCTTTTCATTGCACCCTTGTGGAGCTCTGACAGTTGGCTCACTTCCCTCCTTGTTACCTTGATTTTAGCCTCTAACCGTCTTTTCCATGGTGGGTATTGGGTCTCATGGTTGCTCTTATAGCCAAGTATCTCAAGGATCACTGATGCTGAGTTGTAGATCAGCTCATTGGTTTCTGTTATGGTGTTGGTAGGGATCGTTCTCAATGCTGCATTCACATTCTCAATGAGACTTTCAGATGGTACTTCACTCAGCCGTTGTAATTGGCGCCGGGGAGGCCTGGTTGTCATTCGGGTCATGATTCTCTCTCTCAGGTCAGCAGCTGTCTCGTTCAGCTCTGTTTCGCTCATTGGGGCTGTGTATCCCCTCACTGGGTGGGGACTTGTAGTTAAGTCCCCACAGTCCTGACATCCGGGTTCCTCCCTTTTGCCGTAGCATTTGTGTTGTATCTCGTCAATCTCAAGTTGTGATAGCAGTTGCCGTTTGCGGATGTTGGAACACTGAGCTACAAGTTGTTTAGCGCTTAGTGTTGACTGGGGATGTCGAAGTAACCATTCCTTCCCCAGTCTTTGCATGTAACCTCTCTGACTAGGGTTACTTGAGTAGTAGCATTCCAACAGATCCACATTTTCATCTCTCGCCCATTTCCGTCTTGTTCCAGTAGCCCATTTGTCATCAAGGTGCTCTGGTTCCCCAACACCTGACGCAGACCTTGTTTGGCCGGGCGACGTCTGAGCCGGCATGTTATGCAACTTAGTATCTCTCATGGTATGAGGTAGGCAGTAGCTTGAAGGGTCTTGCCTAAGGACCCAGACTGGATTCGAACCCTGCCCTCTCGGGTGATATACTGATGCCTTATGTATTGAGCTATCCAGTCAGCTATATAGCTATATATATATATATATATATATATATATATATATATATATATATATATATATATATATATATATATATATATATATATAGCTATATATATATATATATATATAAAACATGTTGTTACAGTTTGTTATGATGCTAATAATCTGTGAAAAGATCGATCTCTTCCCCCTCCTTACTGAGCTGCTACTGCCGTGTGGAGAGATGCACCAAAAACAACCAATTAGAGCCAGGAGGAGGGTCTTAGTGCTGACAATCATACTCATGTACTCGGTGCTAAACGTGCAAGAGGAGGAGAAATTACTTACCGGCACAGGAAAGCTGTTTATCCGCGGTGCTAACTACCATTAGAATTTACAACAGGCTCTGCCAACTGCATGATTGACAGCACTAAGCCCCGCCTCCAGGCTCTGATTGGTTGCTTCTCGTTTGCACCGAAGAAGGCAGATTTTCTATCTCATATTATGCTGTCAGAACATGGTGACAGTTTCAGCAAATATGTAAAAATATAGATATATTTTTTATAAAAGTTACATTCTGCAGCTTCAAGCACTCCAGCTCAAACGAATAAACAAGCTGCATTATTTTTGGTTCATGCAGCAGAGGATCAGATACTGAGCAGACAGTGGAGTGGATGGAAAGATCCTCAACCACAGCAGGCAGAGCGTTGCCACTCAAAACCCAACAGATGGGTCCCATCGAGTGATTAAAACGAGCAGAGAGCAAAAAATTATTCAAATGAGGCGTCAGATGATTTATAGCAACTGACTGTCCGTAAATCAGGAAAGAGAAAACAAATCGAAAGGAAAGTCTTTAGAACAGGGGAGTCCAAACTTCATGTAATGTGGGTCAAATTCAGTAAGTCAATAGAACGTGCAGGGCGAAAATATGTAAAAGATAAAATAAAATAACGGAAAGATTCAAATAAAACCAAGCTTTATTGTGGATTATGTACTTTATTCTCATATTTTTATGACTTTATACTCAAAATCCGAATTTGTTACAACATTAAAAATTTATTCTCTTAATATTATGTAATCATTCTCCTAATATTCCAACTTTGTTTTGTAAAATGCATCTTATTTCTTTTAGTTTTATAACCATGCTTGCAACATTATGTGCTTATTATCATAATGCCACTTTATTCTCGTATTATTATGACTAACCTCATATGGCTATATTTGTATAGAATATTACGCCTTTATTCTTGTAATTTTAGGACTTTATAGTCATAATTTTATATTTTTGCTCTGTCATACTAATTCAACTTGTTTAAAGTGTGAGAATTAAACTGGGATGATAGTTTCTGAACTGGGATGATAGTTTCTGAACTGCTGCTTGGCGGAGTGGCACTTGGAGAAGGAAACGTTAAAGTGACGCTTTACCTCCAGAGCAGGGCTTTGAGCAGGGCGACCAGCTCTTCAGAGCCCACTCGTACGCTTCCTCCTGGATCACGTTGTTGTTGTTGACCGGCACCGAGTCCTCGTGGATGATGTACTTGTACATTAATGTGGATCGAGTCTCATTGTCCTTCGGTATAATCTAGGAACCAGGAAGAGAGTGAAAACAAAAGCCGGCGGGTTACAGCCTGATCCACGGCAAATCTGCAGTGAGAGACTGGAGCTGTTCAAATAAACTGTGGATAATTTCAATAGGAGGGGAAAATAACAAAGCCAGGATGCTTCATTGTGCAGCCATGCTAAGGTAATTGGCTTGCGATGAGACGGGTAATTAGAGGAGAGTGAATGAAGGTTAGAGAAAGAACTGCGACACCAGAAGGTGAAGCAATTCTTTACTTCTCTAATTCTGTGTTATCTTTAATAAAAACACAAGTTATTATCTTCCTACTGAAATACATCAGAGCAGCTCTGAATAATAACATAGTCACGTCTCAACGACTCATTAAAAATGGTTCATGGAAACCTTTTCACTTTGTCTCAGAATAATCTTCAGATTAAATCACACCGCTACAGCTGGAGTTAAACACCTGTCAAACCGAAGGCCCGGGGGCCACAAACGGCCCGCCGTAATGTTTTATGGGGCCCTCTAAACTCCAGACGCCTCCAGGTGTTTGTTGTGTTTAGCACTAATGTGTATTTGTGCGATTATTCAAAATTTTCACAACTTCACTAGCTGCAGTATTTCTTACTTTTTGCTGCACTTGGTGTCAAGTTACAGTCGGTTATCAATATGACGAGTAACAAAAAGTCCCATTTAACAAAAAGTCATACATAAGCGCAAATACTGCAAATTTTTTCAAAATCTCAAAATCTTTGAATTTTATAGCAAAATCACACAATCATGAAATCCTGGATGTTCAATATTATTTAAGAAGTTCTCGTTCCATTGGCAGATTATCTCACCTATAACATGATATTTTCTGATGTTATAAGTAAAATAATCTGCTAGTGGAACTGGAACTTTTTAATCAATATTGAGGAGTTATTGACTTAAAACAGGCTCCGATATCTTGCTGAAAAGTTACTTTAAGTTAGTTTTGTCTGGTTTCAAGCGAACCAAGATATTTGTACTAGAAACCAGACCAAAAATACTTGGTAGGATTTTGTGTTTTTGCAAATCTGACTTTGAGAGAAGTTTCCTGACGTTTTCGTGGCGTGAATCTGTTTCTGAGCCTCTGCCCTGCAGCGCCTCACCAGAACCACCACTGGGTCGTGCAGAGGTCCGTCGGTGTGCAGCGTCTCCACGTCTCCCTCCAGGATGTAGTGCCACTCCACTCCCAGGTCAATGAAGCTCCTGGATTTCAGCTCGTCTCCCTTCCCGTTGAGGATGTAGTGTCCTGTTGCCTGGTTCTTGATTGCTGCAATCAATCATTCCATGGGAGAAATCATCAGACTGGAGAAAAATCCAGAAAACCTCCTCTGCCAGCCTGACCTCTGCTCTGATCTATATAAAGCTGCCTGAACATTTAAGTCTGAGTTAATCACACACAATAACACTGATTGCACTTCCATGCAAAGCATAAGGTTATGATAGAGCTTAGATTATTTAAATATCAACATTAATCAGAAATATTTAATAGGCGCTGAGTTTTAGACACTTTTTCTCTGGTGCACAACTTTAGTAACAATGAAAAAAAAACATTTTTAATTTTTACTAAGAAAAAAATCATGCAATGGATAATGACATACACTTTAACATTTATGCACTTGCAAAAATTCAGAGTTGTGGGCAGATTTCTACAGACAAAAATGGATTTTTAGTTATTTTTAAGCCAGTTGTGAAATATAAAGAAGTTTTTTGTGACAAAACCTCATCATCATTGAATGCATGCAAATATCTTTGTGCACTTAGAATAAGAAAAGTGACTTACAAGTACATTTGAACCAAGTAAATGATTCTTTACTATTAACAAAATAAAAGCTCCACTGGTGGATTTTTTCACTTCAGACATTTTCCCCATTTTATAAGCAACGACAACTGCCAGAAGAGTTAGTATTTTATCAATATTAAGGAATAATTGACTTAAAGTAAACTTCTACATGTTTCTGAAAATATTTTTGTAAATTAGATGGTTAGATTTTGTGTTTCTGCAGAGATAAAAAAAGAAGCTTTTGGTCATTTTATCTCTTTCTAAATGTCTCAACTCTCAATTTTTTCATATGTATTGTTTTTATGTCTCATTATTATCGAAACTAAAGTGCTTTATGTACATTAAAATGAGCTGGCATAAATTTTAAGACTGAAAAGTACAAGAAGGGACCAGACAGAAGAAAAAAGAAAACCCATACGTGTTTCAGGGACAACGAAACAAAAGTTGTTTGTTTAATATAAGTATGATTTATGAGCTTGAAAAACTGATTGATGACTAAATTACTTCCATTACTGAGATTCACTTAAATGTTGTGACTATCAGACTGAAAACCAGACGTTGATCATCACTTTTGGCGTCTTGAGGGGAGAAATCAACTTGCAGTTTGGATTTTTCCTTTTATTGCCAGTTTTTCTGCAGATGGTTAAAGCAGCTCTAGGTGTTTTATTGTCCTTAGAAAAAACTTGATGCCTGAAGACTCTCTAGTTGTTTTTCCAGGATTTAATGAGCACAATTATTTGTTCTGAAAATCTAAATTTCTGTTGTGGTCATTAAAACCCCACAGCTTGCTGTGACGTCTCATTAGTTAGTGTGTGCACCAGAGGAAACTGGCCCCTTTCCTGACTATTTGTTTCAGGCAGCTCTAACATTTTGTAGCATCATGACAGGAGATGTGAGTTTTGAAGAAAACAGCAGTTTGAAGAACAAGCAGGCCAGTAATCTTTCTCTCAGCGTCATTTTCAGGTAATGACGGCAGAAGAAGAGCGTTTACTGATGAAGAGGAGCGATTCTGATGCTGGCGTTCAGACGCTTCACATGAGCGGGTCGGACTCTGTGAAATGTTTGCAGCTGCTGGGTTTGTGTTTCTGTTCTGCAGTATCGATTTTCCCCACAGCCAAAGAGAATAAAAGAAATAAAGGTAATCAGTTGTGAAGCGGTTTTCTTTCTCACTGGGCTCCCGGCAGGCGCCTCAGCAGGCAGCAGGGCGAACCGTAAACAACCCGGAAAAACGGTAAACAAAGGAAAACAAAGGGTGGAAATCTGGTCCCAGTATCACCAAATACTGGACCGGATCGCAACATTTATTTAGAGTTATGTTTCATATTAATTTAATTACATTTTTTTAGTTTAAATTTCTTTTTTTTTTTTTTTTAAAGATTTGTATGATTTAAATCAGAGGTGCTCAACATGGGGGGCATGACACAAAGGCGGGTCGTGGAGGTCCGTTAAGAGGGTCGCGACGTTTGTGATGAAACATTTTTGTGTATTTTAATATTAACATCAGTTAATATATTTATCTAATGATTATGCATTTTCAGGAAGTAGGACTTCCTGAAGAAAAATTTAATCTGTGACGTTTGACGCCTCATGAATCCATAAATGTTGTGCATTTTGGATTTTTGGTGTTTTAGTTACGTTCTGCCTGCTGGATCACTGTAAATAAAAAGAAACCTATTAATAAGATAACTCTCATTTCAGATGAAAACGCCGATTTAAAGAACTTTTAGCTCATTTGTGATTCCATTTGCTCCACATTCAGTTTTCTCTTATTCCAAACGGTGCCAGCAGTTTTCCCCGGCGGTTTGCGGCGGGCGGCCATGACGGTTCTTCTGTTCTGAAGCCAGGATGTTTCCTGTTGCTCCGCCTGAAAGAAGCGAACCCTTCCCACGACAAAGCGGCAGCAGGCAGCCGTGCGTGCGTGTCGTTTCAGAACCATTCCTGCTCGTCGTTTGGCACCGCTGCTGCCTCTGCGGACGTCAGAGCGACCCATTCGACGTGCACAAAGGTTCCTCACAGATGCTGGCTTTTGAATTGAGCGGCGATAAGAAGCCGGACGGCGCCGCTCCTCTCCGCTCCGCAGACATGATTGTTCCAGGTGTCTGAAAAGGGTTCGGGACGGGTTTCCACCTCAGACCCAGAAACAGGGCAGCAGCGTTTCTGCATGTGGTATTAAAGTTTCAGTTGCCTGGAAACATCAACATCCAATGAACTCGCAGTTTAAACCTCAACATTTCATAACTTTCTGCAAAAGTTGCTTCATTTTCTTCTATAGCTACAAACTGAGTCTTTAAACTGTGTTGAAAAATGTTCAAATTATGTAAAATAACTTTAATTTCTTCAATTTTCTGTTTTGTGTCATTTTAAGTTGTTCATTCTTTTTGTTGGATCTTTGTAGCTTTTTTCAGAAATAATTGTACTTCACTGTTTAAAAAGTTAGCAGCCATTTAAAGTCTCTTTCTGCTCCTTTTATAATAAAAATCAGTTTTGCCAAAGAAAACTCAGACTGATCCGATCTGATATTTATCAGATCCATAAACAAATCTCTGTGGGATAAAAACTGACCTTTTGGTTTTGGTCATTTTATCTCTTTCTAAATGTCTCAACTCTTTAAAGAAACATAAAACATTTTTTGCAAGAATTTTCAACTCATTCCAGCATAAAGTGAAATGAAAGTTGGCAAAAGTGTGACGTTACATAAATGTGAAGGTTTGCATTTTGGTTTTAAAAATATCTCCAGGTCAGATTTATTCATCTTTCAGCCCAGAAGACTTTATGTCAGCTGGTTTGGTTCACTCCACAGTTTATCTTATTTTTTATTTCTACTTTACAGACAGAAAACAGAAATAATTAGTTATTTTGTCATTTTTCCTGAGTTCACTTCAAAGAGCATCTCTCAGCTTTAGTCAGAGGCTATTTTTGTTCTAAATACTGAATAAATTATGCTTTCATTGAGTCATTTCCAAAACATGAAGGGAAAAGATAAACTGCATGTTTGATGCATTTAGTCGTTTATCCGATGAACAACCGAATCCTGCTGCTCCGATAAGCTTTTGCAGAATAAATGTTGGAAACAAGTTGAGATGTTTTTAATCTGGAACGAGTGTTAAGGAAAGATAGAAAAATACCTTATTCCAGATGTATTACAATCAATAAGAACACAGGAAGGGGAAAGTCATATCTAAAAATATTAACATGGAATTTAGAAACATATTTCTTTTTATTTTCATAAAACATTAAAAAGAGCAGCAAGTCCTTAAAATGAGACGTTTTCTGAAAACGACCCGAGAAATTTGACTTGTGGAGCAAAAGATTCTTCAAACTGTTTGAGAAAGTTAAAACAATATCTACACTCAGAGCTGAAAAAGTGATATATTTTTTATATCTTTTATTTATTTATATTAAAAGGACCTGGCATAAACTGACACCTATGTTGGCTTTTATTTGCAGCAGTAAATGAAAACAGAGGATTCAGCTGTTCATTAAAAAGAACAGAAATAAAATGGAAAGACAATGAGACATAAATTAAAGTTAAAGTTTTCACACTGCAGAAACAAAATCTGACAAAGAACTTCGGTTCAGTTTCTAGTTAAAATATCTTGGTGCTCTCGGAATAAGACTAAACTAATTCAGATGGATTTTTGCAGCAAGAAATTATTCACTTATAACAAGACATTTGTCCCATTTTATAATCTACCATCAACATTATGTAATTATTTACTTAAAGTCCCATTTCGTCTAAGTTCGTTTTGTTTTATTTCAGGTCTTTGATATTTACACTAGAAACTAAATAAAAACACTGGGAAACGTTTTGAGGTCGATTATGAAAATCAGATCAAACTTTTCCAGGTCAGTTACGACCTCTGACCTCGTTTTCTTTTCTTCTCTCGATTGTTTGCAGGTCTGCTGGAAAAGCTGAAGCTTCCTAAAACTTCATCTTTTGTCCTGACTGTGATTCTGTGATTAGATGTTTTTGTTTTGTGAATTATTGGATATGTTGTTATGGATTCTCTGCTGTTTGTTCTGTTCAAAGGCCAGAAAATTAAACTTGTGTTTTGACAGAAAAAACATCGTTTTGTTTTCAGCCGTGGCCTCTGTTGGCCTTGGAGACCCATCGTTTATTGCTTCCTTTCTGTTTAAGATCAGCGTGAAGACACGAAGTAAAGACTGAAAATAAATTACTTTTATGCTGAGCCGGGTTTTCAAGTTCGCTGGTCCTTGATTTATTTTCTACATCTCGTGTTGCTTCCTCTTCGATTCCAAAGGTTGCAAACAATCACAGCTATTTATTTCTTCATAAATGTCAGAATAATGGAGAGATTATTTGATGAGAAAATAGATTTAAGCATGTTTTTATGCCTCCTACCAGTTTGTTACATGTTGGATTAACATTAATGTTACTATGTATTTAAAGACACAACTTTGAATTTTGAAAAAAACAAAAACAAAACATGTTTAATCTGAAATTTTAGCCCCCAGCTGCTCCGGCCTCCATGTTGAACACCTTCGATTTAAATAAAAACACATTTAAAAAGTTACAAAAATGGTTGAAAATGAAGCTAAAATATAAATCAAAGCAAAAATAATAAATTAAAAGGTGATCACTCTGTGACTTTGAACATAACTTTAACTTTCAACCCAAAGTTTTGCGACTCATTTTGTCAGACGGAGGGGGAGAAGTTGCATCACAGCTCTAATAAATGTGTGGAAACTTTCCGCTGGTCCTTTTCGTCTTCAGGAAATTATTGCTTTGATGATTTCTTTGCTTTTCTGAACATTGAAAAGCGTTGTGGTATTTGCCAAGTCATTTAGCCGGGTAGCTTTCCATGGCCTCTCAGCAACCTTTCAGAGTTCAACGTCTTCATTAGAGGTTTTATTCCCTAATTAGAGAAATGAAGCGGCTTCGCCCCGACTGGTAATCTGAGCTTGAATAACGCTGACTCATCCGACACGCGGCCAGAAATATCTGTGGACTCAAACTCTAAGAACACATTTTTACCCAGAAGCGACTCTTTAACAGGTTTATGAATAATGAATGAGCAGGTGAATTCTCTCGGGTCGGGAAAATGACGAGATAAATTATGCAGAGTTTCTAATCTCTGATTTTAGGGAACATTTTCCAGTTAGAGCTCCAGCGAGGCGGTGAGGACGGGCCGAGGCGTCCGGAGGAAAGACACTTACCCAGGATCTGCGGGCCGGCCTCGTGTTCCTGGATCAGCACGTGTCTAGCTCCAGGAGGAACATGAAACATCTTAAGGTAACCTTCGGCGAGTTCGCAGCAGCAGCAGCAGAAAGGGGAGGTTAGGGAAGACGAGAGAAGACAGAAAAGTTAAGCAGATCTAGAACTAAACTCTTTGTTTGCAGCAGCGGACATCAGACTTCTGCAGAAACTTTCTTCACTCTGGATCTACGCAGCGACGTTTAAAGAAGAGAGAAAGTTAAAAAAAAGTTAATGTTCCTACAGAAAACACATTGAAACAGGCCCAGCGCTGCAAAAACACAAAGTCATACAAAGTACATCTGATGTAGTTTCTAGAGCAAATACCTCAATACTCTGTAAAGCAGACAAAACTAACTAATAAGAAACTTTTTAGCAAGATAAGAGGATGTAGATTTGAGTAAATGATTATAATGTAAAGACAACTTTCATTTGTTCAGTCCTAGCAATTAGAAGAGAAACTAAAATAAACTGCAACAAATGGTTCAGAAAGTGAAATTAGAAATTCTACATGTAATGTAAAATAAATAAAGTCTTTATTGATCAGGAACATTGTCACAGACACCCAATCCTTTATTTTTTGCAATGTCTAATCAAATACAGATATTGATATTGGATCGGTGTATCTGTACTTTTTCCAGTGTGAAATAACCAGAACTTTTCCATCAAATTTAGGATTTACTGACTTAAAGAAAGTGCACCAGTTGCAGTTTTCTGGCCAATTACTTTAAAAACCCTGACCTGCTGATTCTGATTTTAACCAGATTTTGCTAAATATAGGAAGAAAGTTGCTCATTGGCAACAGTTGTTGTTAACTGAAACAAATTTGACTAAAATCAGCTTTAAGTCTAAACTGATCCCAGATCTGAGGAAATCGGAGCCGTGTCAGTCAGTTTTGTCTTATTTTAAGGGGGTTTAAGATATTTGCATTAGAAACTAGACCAAAATACTTTGTGAATTTTTGTGTTTTTGCAGTGAAACAGAGTTCATTCTGCCTGTAAATGAACTGCCTCTGCAGGCCGTTTCAATGTGGCAGAGTTATTCTACTCTATTTGTGCTTTTCTGCTGCAGATGTCCGCCGCTCACAAACCCGCCGCCACTCACCCAGAACATTTCTAGACTCCTCACTTTCATTTAAAAACACATTGCGAGCTCCTTTGGGCAGAGAGAAGGCTCCTCTGGTCTTCCCTTCAGACAGAAACAGATCAGTTAGTCGTCGCTTCTCCGCCTCTCCTGGCAGCAGCGGCGATTCAAGGAGGAAAGTTTCTAATCCACAGCAAAACCACTCAGGACGATCCGACACGCCGAGAGCAGCAGGTTGGAAAACCACAGGCAGAACGGCAGCAACATTCACTGGAGTTACTTTATCAGAAAGTATCTCTACTCTAAACTGAGTAAAATGTCAGGATTAATGGAAAACAAACATGTTTTAACCAGAAATTCACCAGACAGACAAACACCTGCAGCTGTTATTAACGTTTCATAAGTTTTTTATTGATAGAAACTGATTTGGAAAGAAAAATATTTTTGTTGTTTTTTGTTACTTATATAAATTTTTGTTCTTAAAATGCCAAAATTTCCACTTAACTTTATATTTTGTTTTGTCTGCTGATGTAATTTGGAAATATTAAACTCTGTGCTTGAGTAGATATTTTTTGAGTCATTTTTTGTGCAGCTACTTTTTTCTTTTACTTGAGTAACAACATGTTGAAGTGGTACGACTCTCACTTCAGAGCAGCTCTGTGCGGCTGGACTGCTGCGCTCAGCACTCAAAGCTTCAATCACGTTTTTCACGTTTTTAAAGAATGAATCTGGAGGCCATCGGAGCAGCAGGGCAATAAAGAAATAAAGAAAAGGCTCTTGTGGTAAATTGGCCCAGTGGATGTGAGTCATCGGGCCGAACCGAGCGCCGGTTCCACTGAATCACACTCAGAGCCACCAATTACACGCTGGATTGCCTCCAAAGGTCGGCGGCTCGGTTCTGAGGGACCGAAAAACTACATTTGTCTTTTTAAAAGCCACAAACATGACAACGAACAACATCTTCTACATATTACGAGGCAAAGACAGGAGAACCAAAACAGACACTTAATTAGTCACAGCGGTTTGAGACGCGATTCTTCTGATTTCTACGGCGTTAGACGTCCATCTGCACTACAGGCTGGGATACTTGCATGGTGAGCTTTCCATCAGCGGGGAGTCATTTCTCTTGCTCAACTGTTTTCCTGTAGAAAAGGTGATTGGTTAAATAAAACACTGCAAGAACCAAACCTTACGTGTTTCTGGTCTGGTGCTAATGTCTTAGTTTGCTTGAAATAAAACAAAACTGAGTTATATGGAGGAATTTTACTGCCATACGTTGAGAGCGCTCAAAACGTTTCTCTGCTCGGATCAAATCTCCACTCACAAACTTTGCTGCTGTTAGGAGGAGACAGAAACCTGAGGGTGAATCCATTCCAGTTATTTATTCATTCCCACAGCTAAAACAGAGAAAACATTTTCTAAAAAAACTAAACGCGTCTTCTCCAGCCTATTGTCGGCTCAGCAGGGAGCCGTTTTCCTCTTTAAGAGACAATCTGGTTTTTTAGCAATGTGTAAAATAATAATAATCACAGAGCTTCAACCAATAAAGCTTCGCCAAGATTCTTAATGAAATTGCAGCTTTGATTAAAACGATACAACAACACCTCCTATGTAGGCTCATTTGCTCCGACTAATTCTTCTAAACGGCTCATTTATCCACTCTGAATGCAAATTTAGCACATTAGCAAACAATCTGCTGCAATTTCTACACCTCCATAATCTTACTCAGCCTTCCAGTTTCACCAAAACGTCCCACACATTAATATCCGTCCAGAAAAATCTCATTTCCATCTGTTCAATACTGGGATAGGAACACAGTTAAGGACCTTTAACTAGACCAGAAATATCTGAATGTTTACTAAGGATTTTATTGATGTGTCATGTACTTTATATTTAGTTGTTGCAATTATAAGGTAGCAAGAAAATTACTTTTAAAATAACTTGTGATTACAGAGTGTGGTGTGTGTCTGTGTTTAGATGTGGTTTTAAAAACTTTCCATTATGAAATTACAAGAAGTAATGAATGAATGAGAAGCAACATTAAAAAAGGCCTTGGAGGCTGAAAGTGTTTTAAAGTTTCACTCTGACATTCAAAACCTTGAACACATCCAGGAATTAAGTGGTTATTTTAGGTTAACGCAAGAGATTTTATAGTACAACTTAAACATGCACTATTTTATGTTTCTGCTAAAATAATAGGTGGATAATGGTCATTATTAATATTAATTATATTCATTTGACACAAACTCATAATTAGCCTAAAACAGTCAATGTAATCAGAAGAGAACCAATTAAAACACATATTAGCTAAATCATAGAATAAATATATTTAAACAGCAACAACATTAGGAGCAATATCAAGGAAGATGAGTGGAAATGCATGCCACACTTTTCAGATTTTTCAAATGTAAAATATGTAGCAAGCTGTTCCTTGTTTTTGTTTGTATTTTTGTCTGGGTTTGTTAAACTATCCTGAATAGAGCAGGAAGTGTGCAGCTAGCTGTATGTCACACAGCTAGCTGCACCTGGAGCAGCCGCGTGCTGCTCCAGGTGACCCCACCTGGTGACCTCACCTGGTACCCCACCTGGTGACCTCACCTGGTGACCTCACCTGGTACCCCACCTGGTGACCTCACCTGGTACCCCACCTGGTGACCTCACCTGGTACCCCACCTGGTGACCTCACCTGGTACCCCACCTGGTGACCTCACCTGGTTTCTTTGGAGTCCGGGTGAAGGTTCCCTTCACGGTCCGGCAGTGGGAGTTGTCTCCACCACAAACACCACATTTATCCTCCACCTTGTTGGAGCCGATCTCTCTGTCACAGCCGACCTTCTGCACAGACAGAAAACACAACAAGGCGACGATTAGCTCTGGAAATTAGACCGAAACAACTTTGGCCAGTATCGATCATATTTAGTGTCCAATCTGATTGATGGAAAAGTTTAAACTTTCTTCTTCTCCTTTTCAACTCGTCTGGAATTTCTGATCCTAGTTCAGGATTTATTTGAGGAGTTTTTGAGAAGCTGATCTCCTGGTTGTAAAAAAAAAAAAAAGAATCTTATTGCTACGGCTATAAATCATTACAGTAAAGCAAGTAAAAGCTAAAATCTGGTTTTGGCTGCACAGCATCCAAAACCAGAGGGAATGACTGAAATGTTTGAACAAAACAAACTAATGCAGCAGCGCTAATCCAACATGCTTCCACCACTAGCAGCCGGGTTCTGCAGATTATGTCTTTAAATCCATCAGATTTTCTTTGAACTTGTTCAAATGTCGATGACAGATAATATGAATTTAATTAAAGATCGCTGTTCAAACAGCAGTTCAAACATGATGTGTTTTCAAAAATCCTCACCACACATTCTCCACGAACGCAGATGCTGTAGGCGTCCTTGTACGAGCACCGCGTCCCATCATGCACCAGCTGCTTCAGGTACGCCACGTCTCCGGTCTCCTTTGACTGGCAGTACAGGTGGCACCGCTTGTTAGCTAGCAGAACAGATCAAAAAGAGTCACTGAACAGCTTCAGCTATTACAGCTGGAAACCAGAGATCAGGATGAAATCTGCAGCAGCAGCGTCTTCACAGGTCTGCCTAAAAAAATCAGTCCTCCAGCAGCAGCAGCTGATCCAGAACGCTGCTGCTGCTGGAGTTCTGACTAAAACCAGGAAGTTTTAGACTAAAACCAGGAAGTTAGAGCACATCATGCAATTTGAAAGTCCTTAAACTGAGAGAGCAGACTTTCAAAAGCTAGTGGTACTTTATAAATCACAGAACGGCTTAAATATCTGCTGCTGTTGTATTAACCTTCCAGACCTCTCAGGTCTTCTGGTTCTGCTCTGCATCCAGAACCAGAACCAAACATGAAGAAGCAGCTTTCAGCTTTCTGCCAGTAGCAACATCCGGTCGGTGATCATGTGACTCCGGATGTGAAAGAAGCGTCTCCACTGCAGGTTTGTGAGAAAATAAACCAATTTCTACCAGAAAACCACATCAAAACGTTGAATCGAAAAGCAGTGTTTCCAGTAAGCAAACTTATTTTTGAAAAGTCAAATTACGCATTTATATGGAAACACAGCTATTGTTTGATATTGACATGCCAAAATAATTACCTGTAAAGTAACAATGCTTTGCTGCTAGTTAAAAACTCAGTAAGTTTTTCAACCTGTTTGCAGGGCTGAGCATTTATTATTTAAGTTCAATTAATCTGCACTAATTAGATTAGTGAATCTATCTGAATGGCATAAATACAAAGCAAAACTAAGTTTACACACATTTAACCTCAATCTTTTTTATATTTAAAGTGAAATACTGTTTCATTCAGATGTATGATCTCAAACAGAACTCATTTCTCACAGATGCTCCAGTTCTTGCACCTCATGCTGGTTCACCTGTGACCCACTTCCTGGCTGAACTGCAGGCTGATGCAAATAGAAAGAGAAAAAACCTGCCACATGCCTGCATATTTGCACCATATCATTTTATTTAGGGCTTCTTGTTCTGTCTGTGCAGCTGCTGACATGGACCAGAAAATAAAAACAAATGTCTGAGCTAAAGCAATATTAAATCAATAATTCCTTAATATTGATGAAAAAGTTCTAGTTGCATTATTTCACTCATTACAGAACATTTTTCCATGTCATAAGTGATATAATCCACCAGAACAACCGGTACTTTTTTATATCAATATTAAGTAATTATTGTCTTATTTCAGGTGAATTGAGACATTTGGACCAGAAACTGGACCAGAACGTTTGGTGAGATTTAGTTTTTTATGATGTGAATCAGAAACTGCTGTTGTGTGTAAATGAAAATGTGGATGACTCCATCAGCAGCAGTTTGCAGCAGCGGTGACAGAAACGTGAGCTGTGAGCCTGAATGCAGCTCGGCCTTTTGCAGCTTAGGTCAAAGGTCGCCATGGCAGCGTCAGTAGGTTTTCTACTCACTTTTGGCCGCATCACCCATCAGACGCCAGAGATGAACTAAATGTTTCTCTCCTGCTTGTACGATTTTACTCCCAGGCATCTGCAGGGCTTTGATGAGAAATGTGTGGAGTTGTGCTTTCTCCATGCGGGTCGGTTTTCCACACAGACCAAATAAATGTAATTGGGAAAATGTCCCCTAATTGGACCTGTGAGCATGCTCCTCCTCCAGTGTGTCTCTTTGATGTTCTGGGTGTCTCACATGGAAAATGGATAGATGGCCTGAAAGAGCTTTTCATTTAGTAATTTTTCTTAATAACAATTGGTTGTTACTCTGTTTCTTAAGTAACTGTGAAGTCTATGTCACAGGGTTTAAAACGTCTTTCATGTTAAAATAAAGTCCAACAAGTTCTGTCATGTCTATGAAGTATTAATATTTATGAGCAAATTAATTAATTTATGAGTTTCAATGCTCTCTACACACAAACACTGGATCCCAGCGAGTTCTCAAACAGCTAATAATGAAATTAATTAAATATAAGGTCATATTTCTCTGCCACTTTGAGCATGTGACATGTAGAGGTGAGTGGTTGAGCAAAAGCTTATGTAATGCTAATGCTAATATTGAGTGATTGCTGCAGCAACTAGCTGATTAGCATTCATGTAAACCGGGTAGCAGCATGAAGTGTCCAATACCAATTTATTTTTGAACTGCAAAGAAAATCCAAAAAAAGCCTGAATTCAAATAAAGAGCAAAGTGTTTTCAAACAGTTGCAGAGTGAGTTGAGCTAACACTAAAGAACTAATCGCAAACATTACCGCCGCTAATACTAAGGCACAACGCCAACAGTGTTTAGAGGAAGCTAAAGCTAACGCGCTAATTTTAGTTGATACCAAATCTTCAACACAGACGTCAACTAAAAGTTTTCAAAACAGCCAAATCAATTAGCATTTCAGTGTGCTAAATGTTTTCAAAGTTAGCTCATTAGCATAAACGTGCTACTTCAGGAGAGCTGAAAGTCTTATGCAGTTTAAGGAACAAACTTTTCTGCTCACATTTTTGACTCAAATTTACTGAAGCAGATTTTTTTTATATTCAATAGCAAAATTAAATCAATTAAATCAGACATGAGTTTGTGTTGAAAAGAAAATGAGAATCAGACTAAATTACCTGATTATTACGTCTCTACAAACAATGTTTACTGCATTATATTTATCTTATTAAAATAAGTATGATTACTTTCAGAAGGAAATATCTAAGTAATTGCCATAAAGCTTCACAAACATTTGTACAGATAGTTTTTAATTCAATGACCTAAAACATACTTGCAATGCAATCACAACAAAGAGTCGTAGATTGTTTTAAAAAAACAGTATAACTATTTTCTTATATTGTTTGTGCAGTTATTGCTTCTTTGGATCCAGTCTAAATAAGATAACTCCAAATAAATATGTTTTAAATGTCACAAAAGCAGATGCCAGACAAAATTGGAAGTTATTACCCGTTTTCTCACCCGTCTCATGTGGGAATAAAAGATAATTTGATAGTCAAGTCAACGAGACATAGTGTCTGGCAGGTCACAATAGTATTGTGTCAGGAGCCACATTGACAACAAACCCAGCAATTTCCACTTAATATGATGCAGATTTGACACGGCAGCGGCATGAAATTGTGTCATATTGATCGTTTCAAACAGCCAAACTCCACCAGAGATCTGAAAATCCTCACATAGACCAATAAAACTGAAACAATTTAAAGATATTAAAATGGTGAAAATATACGACCATGTTGGAACGAGTGGTGGGAATAATTCAACTAAAATACAAAAATAATAAATGGTCATAGGAGTGTATATTTTTGCTAAATTTTAAGATTCATTTTCCATATTTAAAAGCATAAATTTAAAATATTTTCAGAAAAAAGGAAACTAAAAGTTTAACTAGATAATACGGTGAGAAATTTGTAATAAAAAAACAGCATGTGGTTAACAATATTAATTAATTAAAACATTTTCTGTTTCATTTTTTTGTTTATTAATGACACATATCTTGTAATCTAATGTAAAATAAAACTATCAAAAAAAGAATAAATTTAAAAACTGGATCGTCTTAAACTGTCTTTTGTTAAATTGTGCACATATTGGCCTTTTGCTTTCCATCTGCTTTCCTTCCACTCCCTCCGTGGATTAAACTGCATTATTTTTAATACGCTTTCCTTTCAAACTCCAGACCATTTCAGGTGTAATAAGTTGCCAAGAGCTCCATGAAGTGGAGTCTGATAAAAAGCATTTTCTGCAGCAGCAAAACGGGGATCCATCATCTTGAAGCACAGGGTCAATTTTAAAGTTGGCTCCAAATTGCACAAAGCAGAAGAAGCAGTGAAAATGTGAAAAAACATTGAAGAAAAAAGTATAATTGTGTTTTGATGCTTCGGCAACAAAAACTCCAATTTGTAATTTATGGATCAGACTTACACAAAACAATGCATAATTGTAAACTGTGTGAATGTGATTAACATATATTTTTCAAAATAATCTATAAAAGAAGGTAGAATGTATGATATTCTGCTATTTTTAACTGCCACTTAAAACTACGACTGTTTTCAGAATTCAACAAACTGCAATAAAGTTTGACGCTGCAATACGTAACCTTTATAACAACAAACAGGTCTTTAACTTATTTGGTAAAACTGTCACTGTGTCCTGACAGAATAACATAAAAAAGATAATCTGTGTAAAGATTAATCTCCTCCAGCTCCTCGGAATAAATGATTAAAAACAACCATTCAGAGCCAAGAGGAGGGCCTTAATGCTGTCAATCATTCCTGTGTCTGTGTTGCTAACAATTGTATTCTGGCTCAGTGCTTCATGACACTCAGGCTATAGTTAGCATGGCCACTGCGGACAGTTTTCCCGTAATGCTAAGTTGTTTCTCCATTTAGTAGCACACACACGAATGTGATTGACAGCGCTGCCTTCTGGCTCTGATTGTTGTTTCTTCTGCATAAGAACACTAGAAGGAGGTGGGGGAGATTGATTTCTTCACAAAGTGTGTAACTGTTACATTTTACAGAATGTATCTACTTTTTATAAACGTTTTTTATAAAATATGAAGAAATATACTCTTTAAAGTGGCGCACTGCAGCTTTAAACACTATTTACAAGGCCAAACCCGTGGATTTTCATGCCACGCTGCTCGTTTCCCTGCTTACCGTCGGGGTGCTCATACGGCAGCCAGTGGTGTTTGGCATTCTGGAATTCAAAGATGGCGTTGCGGTTCTGGCACTGCTGGGCCCGGAAATCTTCAAAGTGCTTGGGGCATTCGTTTGTGTTGCACAGCTGGTACTCGTAGTTGACTCCGGGACAGTCCTGGCCGCCGTTCGAGGGTCTGTGGGAGGCAGAGGGATCAACATCAGAGGGATCGGTGGGAAAACAAATTGTTATTTGAAATCCAAAGAGAGAAAAACGCTTCCCCTGAAGCGCTTTGGATCACTTCGGCGTTGATGTTGTCCAAATGTGACTCAGATGACCAACAGCAGTGAAAAGTCATGCTAAGAGAGAAAAGTCGCCATATTTCAACTCATATTTACTAAGAAATGTGTGCAGATTATCAGAAGCATTTTAAACCAATCAAGAGCAGTGAGATATGAAATCACTTTTACTTTCAGTTTCTGTTATAAACCAGTGAGGAGTAAAATCATGTCAAGTAAAAACATGAGATGATCAGTCCGTCCACTTGGTTGTCAAATTTATTTCTGTATGATTTCAAAATTTTGTGTGCTAAATTTGCTGAATTTTCTCATTACCTGTTCAAATGTAAGAAAGAAGTCTGTGAGCAGTACTGCGCCGCACCTCTGGGGGCGCTGTGTCACTTACAGTACATGAAACAGGAAGTCGGTGTGTAGCTGTTCCTGTCTCCATTTAAAACGCCATTAAACATGTTTGATTGCAAATTTCCTTCACATCTCAGTGGCTGAGTTTCCAATACGACTTTGTCAATATTCTGCTGATAAGAAAAACGATTAAAATCGTGAACAAAACTCTGCTTCCTGTCGTTTTCTTCTTCGTGTTTTCTGTTCATTGTGTGACGCAAAGTAACACAAAATAGATCAAAGTTGAATTATGCAGTTTAATGCTCTACAAAAAAGTATTTTGGACAGCTGAGACCAAAAAGGAAAAGTGAAAGATGGAGGAAACTCCTCGAATATTAACCTGATTATCTTCTGACAGCCAAAACAAAAATGTCTTCTTCTTTTTCTCTTGTAATTATTTTGTAAAAGGTTAAGCTAAAAAGCAGAAAACTCATCTGACATCATGGCTGACATTAATTCTCCCTTTTAAAGTGCAGAAATGGAACATTTGTGATTCTTTAACAACAAAATGGCAACATTAGCCACACAGGAATTAATCTGCACTGAACTCATTATGCAAATCTTTGCATAAAGACTCTTATTTGCTGGAACTGTCACATCAGGAAGAATGAGTCCATTAGGAATTCAGCTTAAATTAGGAACTCTACAAAGTTGTTCACTCCAGTTTCATTTTTTTTAAAATCTGGTGTTGCTAACTTTAACTCTTTAAAAAAGTCTTTAATGGTTAACATCAAAATAAATCTCCAATCCTAATGCATTTGTTACAGAAGCAAATCTCTTAACCAGTCAGTTTTTGCGGCTGAAGATTTTCACAGCGACTGAAAACACAAACTAAGAAGCAGTCCTACCAGAGATGCTGCATGCATCCCGGTACTTACGCGGGGTTGTTGCACTGGCGCGTCCGGAAGCGAACGCCGGTTCCACAGGATCGAGAGCAGGAGCCGTATTTACTCCAGGAGCCCCAGGCGCCGTCCTGCTTCAGCTGGTTTGGGTTCTTCCACATGCAGTGACCTTTGTAGCACCACTAAACACGACGACAGAGAGGAAAACTACAATAAGATTACATATTTACTTATGTAATCTTATAAAAAACATGTCTTATAAAAAAAAAATGTTGCCCCTAAGCACCCTGGGAAATCATGGACATTTGAGAGAATGAATAAAAAGGTTAACATAACTTACTACTGTCCATTTGTCTGTCACCAACTCACACATGGAAGTTTAAAATATAAAACTTGCATGATTTTGTTTTTTTAATTAAAGTGCGTCTGAAATATTTTTGCAGTGTATTACTGTTGCCTGTTGCTGGGCAACAAGAATGATTTACATTTGAATTATACAAGAAGTTTGCAGTAAATCTGGGGGTTTTCTGAGAGTTACTCCAAAAACATTCATGTTCAGATCCCTGCCTGCTCTAAATGACATATCGGTGTGTGTGTGTGTGTGTGTGTGTGTGTGTGTGTGTGTGTGTGTGCGTGTGTGCGTGTGCGTGCGTGTGTGTGTGTGTGTGCGCGTGTGTGTGTGTGTGCGCGTGTGTGTGTGTGTGCGTGTGTGTGTGTGTGTGCGTGTGTGTGTGTGTGCGTGTGTGTGTGTGTGTGCGCGTGTGTGTGTGTGTGCGTGTGTGTGTGTGTGTGCGTGTGTGCGTGGGTGTGTGTGTGTGTGTGGATGCGTGTGTGCGCGCGCGTGTGAGTGCCTGCGTGTGTGTGTGTGTGTGCGTGTGTGTGCGTGTGTGCGCGCGTGTGTGTGTGTGTGTGTGTGTGTGTGCGTGTGTGTGTGTGTGCGCGTGTGTGTGGGTGTGTGTGTGTGTGTGTGTTATTTATACGTTTCTTCGTTGCTCTGTAAGGACTTGGCGACCTGATGCGTTGCGTCCTGCCTCAGCTCTCTCCTTCCTCTTATGCGCTACAGAAATGCATCAGTTATAAATTTACAGTTTTCTCCATCGCTGTGGAGAAAACTGTGGAGCATTTTTCCAGTATTTTTTAATATGTGGTAAATTTGTCTTATTTGTGATTTTTATTTCCTCTGAATCCCTGCGTAAGGCACCATGCTGCTGCACCCAGACATCATTTATCCTAACTATTCCCTTTGTTGTTAATAATAAAATAGTAACATTAATAAAAACGATCCTTTTCTCAAGACACAGAGCCTGATATCTGGCTCATATAGTGCAGACATTGTTGCCTTGCTGCTCAGCACAAACCCAGACTCAGGATTTGCTTCCTGCTGCAGCTCACCTGCACTCTTGTGGATAAGAGGGAGAAACTAAACCTGCAAGTTGAATTAGAAATATTGTTGCAAAACGTCCCGTTGAAAGCTGACTCGGCGGATCTTACTTTTCCTGGAGCGCACTCGGTGCCGTCCAGAGGCGGGCCCTTTTTGGTTTTGCAGAAGTAAGGGTTGTCAGGGTGACTGCACCAGAGCTGTTTGCACGGGTCAAACGTCCGAAACTAAAACAGACAGAGAGAAAAGCAAAAGGTCACGTCGTAAAATTCACTGCTTGATTTTACAGGAGATTTCTTTAGCAATTATCAGCAATAAGAACCACAGTTTTTAAAATTCAAACAAATGCAGTTTCTTTTAAAAACGCTGCTAAAACACAAAATCTTACTTATTTTTATCTAGTTTCTAGTGCAAATGTCTTGGTACTTTAGAAATGAGACAAAACTCGTTTTCAAGAAATAGGAGCTTAATATTCATGAAAAACTCTGTAATTCATGGGAAGATTATTTCACTTAAATGTCTTGTTATAAGTAAAATAATCTTTTTGCGTGTGTTTTATTTTTAATTACTGACCCTGATTAGCAGCAGCAGGTTAAAGCTCTAATTAAAGCCACTAATTTATGCTGATCGTCAGCAGGACTTTCAGGTGAACTTCTCTTCATCTAAAAAGTGACAGAGCAACAATAATGGAGGATGAAGAAGTTTCTCTCTGCTAAGACCTTAATCCTGAGATTTCCTGCAGATATAGCTGCCATATCCTCTTTCATGGATTAGAGCAGATAATCAGATTAATTAAGGAGGATTCTGTAAGGGACACTGAGAAACTCTTTGGTAAGAGACTTTATGAACAAAACCTGCGTTGTGTTTGTTGTTGGGAGTGAACTTTATTATTCGGTTAGGATCTAATTTGAAGCAAAACTCTCAGAAATAGTTCAGACATTTAGTGTTTTCTCGCCTTTCTTTAGCCAAATTACTGACTTCAGCTTTTGTTCTGTCTCATATTTTTCTCATCTGTCACATGAATCGTGTGGTGATGGATTCATCCTATTGTTCTCTTTAAATCTGAACCTTTTCAGTGAATATTTCTCCTGGGATCACCTTTTCAAAGCAGCAGAGTTAACCGCTGTGTTCTTGGAGAAAAGAGGAAGGCGACAAGAATCAATCAGTTCATGACTACATCTACAAAAACACGATTTCCTCTGCATCTCAGATTGTATAATCAAAGTTTCTTGTTAAGCATTCAGAGGGCAGTGATTAAAACCTATTTCCTTTAATCATTTCATTTCATTTCTGAGAATCAATTCCAGACCATGAACACCATCCTGAATAAACGGCATCGATTCTGCACCCGGAAAATGTTCCTACTCAAGAAAACAAGCTGCATTTTGGTTCATTTTCCACTTGTGTTTGTTTTCTCTGACTCATATCTGACTTTATCCCAGTTTCAATATTGTAAATAGTTCAATTGATGCCCATTTGACAGCATATCTGTTTTTTTTTCTTTCAAAAAGATGAAAATATTCTTAGTTTTTTTGGTGCAAATGTCTTCATGACAACATTTTTCAGATTAATTTCACAAAGGAAAAAACGTGGACATGCTCAGTTGATATTTTTCCAACTAAAATAATTAATTTACTAAATTACAACCAAGAAAAGTGCAGGAAAAAAATGTCAGACGTTCTCTACAATTAAATTGCTAAAAGATTTTTATTTCTTATTTTTTTATTTTAAGTATTAGTGATATTTTATTCACTGAAGGAAATGATGATGAGGAAAGGATCCCAGATATTAACAATCTAACAATGTAAAGGAGGAAAACTGGACCGACGTTCAGCGCCTTGACATCCTGTCAGACGCCGGCGGCCCTGATTGGCTGCCAGCAGTCCTTTGTGTCAGAACGGCTCGCCGCTGGAGGACGGGAGGAATCATCAGCATTCACAAAAAACACAAAAGCAAAATCAAAACCACAAATGCAGGAGCAGAGGAGAGAGCAACGGACCGGGCCGAACAGACCGAATCAGAGCGTCAAACACGGGCGATTCTGATCCAGTTCTGCTTCCCGACTCGCTGCCTGACAACGTCTCCGGCAGAAAATCCAACATTTCCAGAAATGAAATACATTTCTGTTGTTTACTAACCACATTTAAAGACAGTAAGTTGTTCTGTGATTTAGTTTGAACCTCTTAAAGTTATGTAGAAATTGTTCTGTTTGACCTGAATTCTTGATTTCTGACATTTGAAATTCAATAAATTTTCTCAGATTCTTGGCTGCAGTTTTCCGAGCTGCTCTTTTGCTACAGCAGATAAAAATATCTGTGGATTTTTTCCTCTTATGATGAAAATCACAACAAGTTTAGATGCTTATGAGAGGAGAGTAAATATGCACACTTATTTACTGTTTTTACAGTTTTCATTCAAAAATAGACAAATCGCAAATGTCAGTTAATGATTATTATTGATTATTGATCGGCAGAGTGATTATTGATTATTGATCAGCAGAGTCCAGGCCCAGAAAATACAGACTGATCCCAAAAAATGTTTTTCTGAGAGGATCGAAGGTTTGGTGACGCTACGTTGTTGTAAAATTTAAAAATGTGCTAAAAGTACGAGGCCATTCAGAACTTTATACCAGAGAGAAATACTTGCATGTTTCTCAGTTTGTGAAGAGAAACTGACTTCAAAATCATTTCAGTAACAGATATTTGTGGGCTTGAGTTGCTGCTTGTATTGTCAGCATCATATGAGGTATTTTAAAAACTCCACCACCCAAAAATGTAATCGTCTGGAGTTGAAAAGATGAAAATTTGCAAGAAAAAAAATAGAATTTGGATATTTTCCTAATAAAAGAATCCAGATTTTTTTTTTCCTATTTCATCTCCCAAACTCATTTATACTTTGGAAAACATTCAGATTTGCATTTCATAAATTTAATATTTCAGTCTTAGAGGACTTCCACCTATGTTATGCTGAAAATAACTTTAGAATCTATGAAAACTTGAGTTTTTTTGAGTCACAATGACTCTCACAAGTTTAAATATGGAGAACTTCTATGTTTTTCTGGCAAATTTATAACTTTTCAACAAAGCTTTCTTTGTAAACATGTGAAATTAGTCTAAGAATTTGAGATATTTTTGGCAGAACTTCATTTGGCCCAAATACTCCGTCACTTTATGATTGCCCCTGTGGGGAACTTTTTTTGTTCCTATGTATTTTATGTTTTCACTTGGCTATATAACATTTGCTCAGACAGTAAATGAACCTCCAATTAAAAATGATTAGACCAAAGAGACAAAGCAATCACATTTTAAATATGTCGGAATAATTGCCTGAATAATAAACCTATTTTTCTGTCTGTTGGTTCTTCATTAAGCTTTTCTGACTCTCTTTCCAGTTGGTAGGAGCTCAAATTCACCATGAAGGTTTGGATGAGATGCACAAAAAGGTCCAGTTCACTGCAGGAGCGGACCGACTGAAGCCTTACATTCAATCCGACATCATTCTAGAGCCATGTCAGCCTGAATCTAACCTCTAACGGTTAGTCATCAAATCACAATCTCAGACACTCGCCCTCCAGGTTTCCCTCCAGACCCTGAACAAATGCATTCCTCCAAAATAAGTAGGAAAGAGAAAACACCCCGAGGACTTACAGCTGAAAATCACCACTGGTCACAATGTCAACCTGCTAGGAAATCCGAAACACTAAGAGAAGCTTCAAGTTTCACAAAACACGACCCGGATTCAGGTAGGGGCACAAAAGACTCAGAAGGTGCAATAAAAGTTAACAGAAACTCTATCAGCTGTGCAGAGCAACGTTATTTACTTTATAGCAGAAGGAAAAACATTTCCATGGCAAGAAACTGAAATCACTTCCCAGCTTTTGAAACGTCTAAAATGAGAAAACTTTACGAACTCCAAAAAACACAACAAGCTGCTAACATTGAGGAAAATATGCGGTTGATGTTACATCAGCGCCCGATCGAGCGCCGCCACCCAGCCGCTGCAAACCTGGTGATGGCAGTAAACAGTGACAGGATGAGTGGCACGCTGTCGCATGGCGGCCTGCCGGGCGGAGACACGGTGAAATAACCAGATGACCACATCAGTTGCTTTCCAACACGTCCAGTTTTGCTCCTGAATCTGCTCATTTCTAAATGTCAGAGTCTCTCTCATCGGGAATCTTCTGCAAAACTTCTGGATCTGCGGATTGTCTCTGCTGTCATTTTTAAGGCATTAAAGAGTTGCAGTGCTCTCAGACCAGCTTTGGCCATTATTTCAACACCTTAACTGTAGACATATCACTAAATTACTAGAATATTGCCCAATTTACTTGCTAATATCCTTGTTTTTATTAGATGCAAAACATATCGATTCAAATCTAAGCAACAATGTGACTCATTGCTGATTGTATGTTTTTGTTCGTGCTGGGATTGTCTGAGAGCAGAACAAGATGTCTGCCTAATCCTCAGTAATAAATCATAAAAACTCAATCTGTGAAACGGCATCCAGAAGAAACCAAACGTCTGATTGTGCCCAACTTTTCCCACCTGCAGGAAAAGCTCCGAACCAATCGTATTTTTCTTTTTCTTGCTCTCTGTGTGGACGGCGCTACACACATAGCTGTTGCCAATAACGGCTGACTGACAACAGATCCACTAATGTATCAGGATTCAGCACCAACAAAACATTCAGTCTGTTGCAGTTTCATGTTTTCAGGTTGGATGTTTATTTTTGTGATTATTAATTAGTGATTGTCTGATCAATTAATCACCTGCTCGACTGACGATCTGTCAGAGTTGGTGTTTAATATCCAGGTGTTTTTATATTTGTTTTACATTTTCTTGTGTCATATAGAATGGGTTTCTGGTCTTGACTTGGTCTTAGTTTATATCCTGGCATAAAGTCCATACTTTTGAGGGATGGACTCACCGAGGTGCAGATCTTGTATCCCACTCCGAAGTCGAATCGGCATTGCTCATCCATGGAGTAGTTGATGCCGGGGAGTTCAGGAAGCTGAGGCCAGTCGTGTTTGAAAGGGTCATCCAGCAAACAGTCATAGGTGCTGTAAGGAAATGAAACATGGCTGAAACCTGAGATTCAATACGGAGTCCTGAGCTGGAACCTTTCTATCGTGTTTCTGGTACGACAGTAAATGTAACGCACAAGCTACATCCGCTAACAGTGACGGACAGCAAAGCCGCTTCTGCTGGATCTCTGGGGTTTAATCTGTGCTTCAAAAATCCAAAAATATTTCTGCACTTCAGATCTTATGTCTATTTATTCAACAATTTAGCAGCAAAAACGTTTTTTGTGATGGAAAATATTCTGTATTTTGAATTTAAATGTGATTAGTTAATTGGATCCTGCAATTAGCTCCATTAAAGCTCAAGGTTTTGTTTGTGTTTTTTTAAATACTGAACTTTTACAAGTAAATTCATAAGATTACAGCCAGGTGGCCAATTTCCATCAACCTTATGGTGAATCCCAGAAGAGACTGTTTGGGCTCTTAGACTCATTCACATCTTATGGTACGTATGCACACACCTCTTTAAAAGACCATTTTTTATAACATCTGCCATAAAAGTTGTGCAAATGAGTGGAATACGAACAGGATGAATAGGAAGATTGGGTGAGTGAATTACACAAGTTTATTAATTTGTATAATTACCAGAAACCAACAGAAAGTAGAAAAAAAAGAGTTCTCTGTTGGGTATTCTGCTCTTAAATGCAAACAAACCTCATGTAAAAACCACAATGGCTGCCGTGACATCAGAAATGTTCCTATGTTGGCAAGTGAGCTTTCAGAAAGCAAAACTTTCTGTTTTCCCCAAAATAAATGATAAATATCACCAGCTCCAAAACTGGTGGCAAAGAATTTCAAGTTTTTGTCTGTTTTGCATGAAAAGAGGTGCAGAGTGGTCAGGATTACTCTGTGATTGATTGCCTACTGTTATCTGCTGTTGTGTTTTAGGAGTGAGACAAATGAATCGAGCAGAGACCAGAAACGTCTCAGCCTCAACAGCCAGTTTATTTTTATTCAAGAGCAGATGCCAGGATTCTGGTTCCTATTTTAAATTATGAACGACGATGAAAGATAAACAGAAACTGTTCAGGTTTGGATGCAAGCTGACATTTAAAAAGATAACGCAACATTTACATTCAGGTTTTGTCCTACTGTCTATTTATTTACGGTGGAGCATAACTGAGGTTGGTTCATCTATCAAATATGTTTCATCTTTGTGATAAAATTCATGAGATAGATGAACTTATATAGTAGAAATATTTATGAATCTGAAAGAGCCGAAGGAGAAGTGTGCATCATAGGAGAAGCTCTGGGAAAGTTTCCTTCTCTTCACCTATTTATGAAACGGAGCAGAAAGATGAACTCACTGGATGTATCTCTTCAGCTCCTGTCCGCTGCACATGGACCAGTGGTACCGATGGAAGGCCGCCTGCACCAGCGGCGCCATGACGCTGCCCATCGCCGTCTCGTCCCCGCAGCGGTTTCCCTGGCCGTCGTGCTCCATGCCCAGCCTGCAGCCGGACAAGGTCACACAGGGAGATGAGATTCACAGCAAACAGCTTTTGCTCCACCGCCTCAGGGCGAGACGATGGGAGATGAGAGTCTGAATCTCATGATTTGATTCGGGGGAGATTGAGACTTTTCAGGAAATGTGAAATTTGTGACAAAGTTTCGTGTCGACTCCATTTTAAACCGTGTAAAAGAGCAAAGTTGTCTTTATTTTGCTTCCAATCAGTAGGCTGTTAAAGAGGAGTTGATCGGTTTTAGTTCTTTTATTTAATCGTTTTGGTTGCAAATGTAAAGTCAAGTTTATTTGTTTAGCACATTTCAGCAGCAAGGCAGTTCAAAATGGATATAGTAACCAATTATGAAACATTCCAGTTAAGAATCAAAAGCAACTTTTATCATAGATCCAAAGGGATTCTGGGGGATTTTCTCCCGGATTTCAGCCTGATCTCCAGTTTCTGCTGGACAGATTTCTCATCAATTAAACCAAAAAACAGTGAAGAATCTGCACATTTCTCCATCCAGGATGGAACCACGTCTTGATTTGTCTGGTCAAGAGCTAAAGTGAAGTAGGGTTGACATATTAGATAAGAAACTCTACCTGAGGGACTGAGGCCATCCAACCTTTTCATAAGTAAACTGACATTTAAATCTATTATTACCACAGCAGACAATTTATCCCTCGATCAGCAAGTTCGGTCTTTTCAAAGACCTTTCAAAACCTTTCTGAAAATGCAACACAGGCAGAGACTGAAAGTTGCTCCTGCATTCCACAATTCAGTTACTGAAAAAACACTAAATGGGTAGAAATCTGAGTTTTTCTGTGACTGATGTCATCTGGACACCAAATGTTTGTGTTTTTAACTTATAATCAGCATTATGAGGTTTGCAGGCACTGCAGCTTTAATTACAACAAAACCAAAGTTTGGGTGAGAAATGATCCCATATTCAGCTCATCTGTCCTGCTGCAGAAATGAACTGCAGTTTGTTCATCCGACATAAATCTTTTCACCGCAAAGCGACGAACTGAAACGCTGTTAATGTTAGCATTGGTTTCAGAGTCACCTTCTGAACAAGCGATTAAAGAAATCCTCCCACAGCAAGTTATTTAAGGTCGAGGTGCAAAATAATCCCAGTGAAGAGAGAAGAAAGAGAAGCAGCAATAAAAATAATTTTAAAAAACAGATTTCTCTGAATTTGGTGTGATCCAGTCAAGGACAGAGTGAACTGGTTTTATTTTTGTTTTTCCCCATTTTTCAGATTTTCTTCACATGACAAATATCCAGTTTTTTTCAAAATGTCTAAATCCAACTCAAGAAAACCCATCAGTAAAAAGTAGATGTGGAAAATGTCCGCTCTCAGCTTCCGTAGCAGTCCTCTCCTACCGCAAAGAAAAATAAATTCTCTGTAATTATTGGTTATTATTGGGAATTTCTGACCAAAATCTACTGGTAGAGATTATATCCAGTTCACTGCCAGGCCTTTTTAAACCTGGTTGGAGGTTTTTCCCAGGATAGAACATTTTATTAAGTGCTAAATTTGAATAAATGAAAGCCGTCGTGTTGGTACAACCTGCAGGAATAGATAGAAATAACACCCTAAGAGAATTTCATCTAATTATATAATCATACATGAACTTTAATGACTGATGCTTTTATGTAGCTTTTTGGCTCAAATGAATAATTACTTAATCTTTTCATTTCCTTCTTTAATAAGTACTATTAAAAATAGCGACTTAGATTAAACTGCTGATTAATAAATGACAGAATAATAACAACCTGAGGCAAAATAAAAACTCTCCACCTCTGATGGATGACATTTTAGACGTGCGGTGAAATGAACCTCCTAAATGTTGGAGCTTGTTGATTGAAACGGTTTCTGAGTTTCATCCTCTGAGTGTTGAAAGCAGGACGACTCATTTACCCACACGAAATCTGACAACATGTCCCAAAACGCTTTTTCTGACCCTCTGCATGAACCATCCCACATGTTCCTCACTAATGCAGCTCGCTGAACACGCCTGACTACATGAGAACAAATCAGAAATCAAAGAATCTGTGCTCCAGCGGTGTGAAAGTGTTTCTAATTTGCTTAAAATGTGACAGAAATTCATTAAAATCTTTTTGAACTGTTTGGTTGTTTTTCAGACTTTCTGAAGGTCTAAAAGTGTTTCTCTCTGGACTTTGTTTTACTCTTTCTTTGCAGTTTATGATAATTTTCTGAAGAATCATTCATTTGTTTGGTTTCTAAAACATAAACTAGAGGAATAAACCAGTGGCATAAGATAAACCTTCACAGCTGATCATTTCTGTTTCCTCATGTCGTCCTTCCAGCTTCCATTTTCTTCGCATTTATTTAATCTTTTTTTTAAAAATCATATTTTAACATCAGACATAGGTAACAATACAACCATCAGCAGCAGAAGCACCAAATACAACGGAAAAGAAAAAGCAGTAAAACTGATGCGACGTCCTCCTAAAAGCATAAAAACAACTTCAGATTAATTGCATCTTCAGTTCTTCTTCACACTAAAGACTTAAAAAGTATAAAGCAATATAAAGCAGTTTTTGTTCTTTCTTTCTCTTTTTTCACTTGTTTTTTCAGCTGTTTTCTAATCTGGAACAAACTTCCAGATCAGTTGAGAATAAAAACAAAAAGCTGCTTCTCCAAGAAGCAAAAGCAAAACTTTTCTTGAGAGTTAATGTGACAATGTTAAAGAAAAGAGACAGAAACCTTTAAATTGCTGCTCAAAATGACTTAATGATACTAAGAAAGTCTGGTTGCTCACATTTAATCCAGAGGACCATACATAAAGCATCACCTGGCAACACCAGCAATCAATACGAAACTGTGGCCAGGAAATGCAAACAGGAGGAGCTGGCATTTACAGCCATGCAAAGGCTCCTCAAGCAATTCACTGTTTTCTATTTCCAGAGGGTTCAAGGACGTGTGAAGGTCAGCGGACAGAGTCTGGAGGATGATTCACGCCCAGCAGCTGCTGCCTGAGTTCTCCTCGCTGAAATCACCGTCAGGATCATCCAGTTTTTCCTGGTGACGTCTGATAAAAGTCTGACTGGTTTTATAACTGACCAGAGGATAAAATCCATGTTTTACGAGCTGTAAAGTAAGAAAGATCAACGGTTTGGGGACAATCTGCTGAAAATCGTGTTTTTCACTGAGGGACGAAACCAGCCAGTTGATTGGGCCACAATTTAGTTTCACTTCTTTTAGATAAAATTTGTGAAATGATTTTATTGTGAATTCTTTTCATTTATGTAATATTTTTAAATACAACATTCAAAGTCACTATTAGCTTCTTCCTACCAACAAAAATGAGAACTGACTTTAAAAATCTTTAACTGGATTTAACTCATTTTAAATAGTTTGTTTTTGAGGAGAAACTCACTGGTTATTACCGTCACATTTAAATTAAAGCAAATAAACAAAAAATGAAACACTAGAAAATCAATCAAGCGGCGGGACGAAGCATCGTCGCAGCCGACGGCGTTAGGATCTGCTGAACCGAAACACCTGGGACGTCCTAATCCAGATTACAATCTGTTATCTCCTAAATCCTGACATCCACATGCTCAGCTCTGCATCCAGCTGGACCGGCTGAGCGGATCAAATGCTTTCAGTTGCAACTGATTCTTTGATCATCACCGTTCAGCAGAAAAACCCAAAAACTCCAGAACGAGCAGCGCTACTTCAACTTAACTCAAGTAAAAGTAAAAAGTTTCTGTCCAGGAAATGATTCGAGAGTAAAAAAGTGTTTGGTAGAAAATCTGCTCAAGAACTGAGTAACTGATCAAATGATGAGTCATTTGATAGGAAAGAATGACATCATCAGACAGACCAAAATGTAAAGTGCAAATTTTGTCATTTTCAGGACAAAAATGACAAAAACTCATAAGTAACAAAATAAAGTCAAGAACATTTTTCCAAATTAGTTTCTTTCAATAAAAAACTTATGAAAGTTGAACAGAAGCTGCAGGTGTTTGGGCAGAAAATCCAGATTTAATCCAGTAAGAGTAGAAATACTTCATAATAAAAATACTCAAGTAAAAATAATTGTTTTCAAAAAAGTTACTAAAGTAAATGTGATTGAATAAATGTTATCAATGATTCTCACATTTATTTCAAGTTGTGATCCTGAGGATTATTCAGCGGTTATTAAACTGTTCTGCCGCCATTTTCATCTGTTATGTTCATTTATGGGGTTGTTTCAGTTTCAGTACAGACAGGCAGAACATTATGACCACCTGGATCAGGTTTGATCTGCTTTCAGTACATTTATCAAACCTGGTTATTTACTTTTCAAAAAAAGTAACAGAAATTTTGTTTTTTCTGCTCAGAAAACTGTCGATTATTTTCAGCCTTTCTAGAAGAAAAACCTGCGTAACACTTTCTACATTTCAGATCTGCAATGACTCAGACAAGGGATTCCCAAACTGCAAATCCAGTCAATATTTAATAATTACTATATTAATTTAGAATAAATGACATCTTATGTTTTTTTCAGCTCCTTTGTTCTTTTTCTGGTCGGAAACTTTTCCATTTCCAAAGCAGTTTGATGAATTAAACTGTCAGCCAATCAGATGAAGCCCTGATCACGTTGCTGCGTTCAGGAGCGCCCGGAAATACGGAAACGCCAGCGTGAACTCACACATGTCCGGTCTCGTGGGCCACGACAAACGCAGACGAGAAGCCGTCTTCGTGGTTGAGGGTGCAACTCCGGACCGGGTGGCACATCCCTGTGACCGGAGCGTAACCTGGACAGAAGTTCAGCGAGGAATTAGAAACATCCAGACCGGAAAACCGAACTCCGTCACAAAACATGTGACTTTCTCAAAGTTATGACGTCTTTCAGGTAGATGTTAAAACATAAACTAAGTTTTTGTTTCACGGTTAATTATTAGTGATAAAACTTTGACACAAACGACGATAAATGATAAATAAATGAGATAAATTTCTCCAGACAAAACTTATTTAGAAATCTCTACCAAAGCAGTGAGGAAGTTGTGTTTTGCAGTAAGATCATTTTCAAACAAACAGAAAACAGAAATATCTGGAGACAGAAGAAACAAATTTCCACAATTAAAACAATAAAAACTTGGTTAAGAGATAAAAGAGAGAATCTAAGCAGTTAGCGATGGACGCTGCCTGATCTTCACTGGAAAACGTTTCCAATCCTCCACTTCTCACCCCAGAGCTTCACACGTTTAAATCCTTCTGACCTGCTGACAGAAGGTCAGCGAGTCGCTGCATCAGTTCAGAGAGAGAAAATGAAGCACAGAGTCCTATAAATGAATAAAAGAACCTGAAAATAATTCACAACTAAACTGGCCGGCAGAGGCGCGAGGTCAGGTCCGGTTCGGTGTGAAACGTTTTCACTGCCAGCAGAGTTTCAATTTGGATCTGAGGGAGAAACAGCAGCCTGGAAAATATCTGAGAGAAGTTCAACACAATAAATGAGCAAAAAAGAAAAATCTCCAGTTTGTTTTTCTGTTAGGAAACACTGGACAACGTCTAAAGTTTTATTGGACGTCGCTGGTTCTGCTGGGTTTGCGTGGCGTCTGTCTTTTTTCCTGCTGAATGTGAAAAGCGTTCAGAGCTGCACAGACGTTTTCAGTTTTGGTGTTTGAGATGAAGAAAGTCTGCGAACAGCAGCCGAGTTCAGGCTCCCTCCATCCATGTTGTCATGAAAACTTTGAACAAACTGCAGCTCTGTGATGAGGATGTGAATTTGGCACCAATTTGGATACAAATAAAATAAAGCAATCAGAAAAATAATAGTTTGGTAACTACGACCCTGCAGAAACACTACATTTTTACTTTCCTCATTTTGAAAGGTTCTAAAAAAACAAAAATCTGTGTTATCAAGTAGTTAGAAGAAATAGTTTATGTGCTTTTAGTGTTTTTTCTTTTCCTTCATTCTCAGGGCTTTTAAAGTCATTTTTGCCAAAAGGACGTTCATATGAATCCTGAACTTCTCTGGAAGGTATTTTACTTTTTGAGGCCTTCACAGTGTTTTAGTTTAATTACTGAAGTGAATTACCGTCTATCCTCTGTTCCAAAGGCAGCTTTAGAAAATCTCTCCAGTTAAGTGATTTTGCTTGTGTCTCTTTGTATTTTCCATTTTTCTTCCCGTCGTGTTTGTTTCAGTGTTTTCATCTCTTCTGGTCCTTTTCAGTGTTTGATAGGACTAGAAAACACAACTTCGGCTTGGTTCACATCAGCCTGAAGTGCTTTTGAATGTCTTTCTGCTTTTAACTCTCCATCACAACATTCAGACTCTTCTGCTTTTATGCTTCTTCTAGGAGACTCTTGGCAGTTTTATTGCAGAGAAACTTCAAGCTGTCATCTTCCCATTCTGATGTTTTCAGACAGCGCCAGGCTTTTAGTCTTTTTCAATAATCCCTGTCTGTGGTTCACTTCATGAGCATTGTTCTGTTTTTTCTTTGTGAAATGTTTGACAATTGACTGTCCTTTTTTGGCCATGTGCTGCTAAAATCAGCTCTGTAAAAGTAGCAGTTTGTTTGCAGCTTGGCCCCAATACAGCAACAGCAGATCATTTCAAATCCAGAAGGATTATTGCAAAACATTTATCAGCAGAAAAGCAAAGGCGTAAATCCCATCTCATTACTGGGGGACCATCAACAGGAACATTTCTTAAGAGCAACTTAAGAGCAAAAATGTGGCTTAAAAACTTTTTAAACCACCTTCAGGCTGCAGGACAAAAAGCGCGTAGTAATGCACATCGAACATGTTTTATTCTCACTAAACAGCCTGCAGAAAAATTAAACATGTCAAATGTTCAGTCTGACTGATTTAATCTCTGCTACAACTTTACAAACATTTAAGGTTCTAAATAGAAAAGCTTTAATGAGTAACTGCTCTTCATAAAGTTCCTCATAAACATCGATTTATTGAAATGGCTCCCAATACAAGTCATGGCCTGTTTAAATTATAACTTTTAAGCCTTTTTTAGTTTTGGCATGTCCTGGGCTGCTGAGAACTAAAGAGTAGATAGAAATGAATATCTGGGGAGAATCATAACTTAAACGTAACATTTAAAGCACATTTAGAAAAATGTTCAGATTTTATTTTGTGGTTTTAAAGGCTCTACGTTGAAAACAGTGAGAAATAATAACTGTGTTTTTTCTATCCTCCCTCCAGTTTCAAACTCTTCTAATTAACTAAAACTCAAAGAGTTAAATATTAATGAGATGTTTGCTACCTTTAGTAAAAAAGCTTCAGCCATTGAAAGCAGTGCAGCAGTTTAGCTAATGAGGCAGTTTATCATGATTCAAAGTAGTAAAATAAACTGCAGTCTGATTTTTATTGTCAATGTGTTTCTTCCCACTGAGCAGTGAAAGTAAATATAAGGTTTATGTGTCTTTTGCTGTTAGTATTTATTTACTGGAGGGTTTTATGTTTGTGCTGCAGAGCTACAGCTAAAAGCTAACAGCTAACTCCTCACTTCACACATATTTTATTCTGAGATAAATGGCAGATTTATTTTGTGTTTTTTTTTTTTTGTTTCTTTTGTCTTTTCATTATTTAAATGCAAAAGTTAAAATGATTTTTTAGGAGGAGGGTGGGGAGACAATTCTAGACTATTCCAAGATTGGGGGGTCCGGGCCCCTCAGACCCCCCTGGGATTTACGCCTATGGAGACAATCTGTGTACAGCCCAAAAGTACTGGATCCAATGAGAGCTGAAACGTTAAAGCCTTAAGAAAATATAGCTTTAGAAGCCAAGGAAACCTTGCAAAGACAAATTTGCAATTACAAATGAACTGTGTGAAATGTTTTATTTAATATCAGGTATTCAAAACAGCAATTGCATCTTTGTTTGATGTAATTCAGGTCACCGAGTGTCCCTGCAGCATTTTGTTCTCAGAGCCAGCTCTAATTTTACTTTAATTCGACCTTTATAAGTAGTCAGTGTGAGAATTAATTTTCTCTTTTTCATAAAATCTTGTGTCCACTTCACAGAATGACCCGACTGGCTTGTTAGTTTATTTTTATAAATATTTCTGGCTTCACTTGTTTCAGTTTCTTCCCTCTAACTTGCTGTTTGTGGCATCTGGGGAAAAATGGCAATTTCTCCACAGCTGTTAAAAAACAAAAACAAAAGATTCAGACCAGAAAGATGACAGCAAATGTAATTTGTGAGCATAAAGTTTGAGAAAATGTGTTAGTGATGCCTCCATGTTGCTTTCCTAAAATAATTAATTCAATTTTTCCAAAGTTGATTTTCTCCAGTGTTTATGTGAAATGAACATCTTTTCTATCAAACATCACATGTGTAAAGTTATTTTTAAATGTGTTTTTGGGTTAACTATTTACAAAATAATAAATAAATAGCAGTAGATGGATTTATAGAGTTGGAGTGATAAATATAATGCAGCTAAACATTCACTGGATAAAACATATAAGATAAGAAAATGGGGACTTTCAACTACTTCCATTCACTTTTTGTGAGTTTTTACACAATCATTGTATGATTTGCCTAAATGAAGTAAGTAAGCTGTAGTTGACATACAGCTGTTTGGGGAAAGCTGTATATGTCTATGCATCACATCAAAGTTGCTAGTTTTCTGAATTAGGGCTTAAAGTGAAATATCTTTCTGAATACAGATTCTGCATATAAAAATGTGGGTTTCCTTGTTCACCACATGTGGTTATGATAAACTACAGCTAGACTAAGTATGCTGCAGAGTGCTTTTAAAAACCTGGGCATGGAGCCGGTTTGATAGGTCTTTAGCTCCGCCTCTCATGCAAAATTTCTCCTAATTACCCAATAAATCTTCAGCTTTTAGAGACACTAGCTGTCTAGGAAATATTGCACAGAAAACATTCATCTCTGAGAAGAGTAGATGTGCTCCATCAGATTGTTGAACCATCAGGTGTGTAATTTAACTCTTTGGCAACTTTTGGCAGCTTTCATAACTACCTTGTGATCCTTCAGTCACAACTGCATATAAATATCAAAAGCTACAACCCCAAACAAAACTAGAAGGAAAATGTGTAAAAAATAAAAAATGTTATTTATCTGCTAGATGAAAAAGTAATAGGTTTCATGTTTTAATAAAATGTCAAGCTATCCAACATTCAGCTTCTAGCCTCATGCTAGGAGGTTTGCACTTGATTGTTTTCACTTTTTCTCCACTTGATACTTTAGAAAAGCACAAAACGTTCTTCCTCTCCATGTTTCCCATTAAATTCCTGTTGTTCGTTCACCGTCAGTGGGCTTAAATTTGGTAAATTGTTCTGTTTATGTCAGCCTGTGTCAATGATTCAATTTCAAAACATGTCACACACAGAAACAGAGGAGCTTAATGATATTTTGCTTCCAACGAGGCTCAAAACTTGTCAAAGTCTAACCGCGGCTCAAGGGAAGACGATAAAGTCCTGACAGTTCGATGATTTGTCTCCAGACACCCCTGAACTAATTCTGTTTGGACCTGTAGCGTCTACAGGAAGCTACAAAACCAATCACATCTTAATGACCTTGAAGAAATCAAAGCGGACTAAAGCGAGGATTGTGATTTGATTGATATCAGCCACGAGGAAGAAGCTGCTGGTTTGTTTCTCCCCATTGATTTTTAGCTTTAATTGATGTAATACAGAAGGTGGAAACATGGGCTAAGAAATAAAAACTAAAAATCTGCTCCAGCCTGCAGAACAAATCTCATTTTGTTCTGAAGATGAAAGTTACAGAGAGCTAAAGTCTGGATGTTCTGAGAATGACAACCTTTAAAATTTGTCTTTTCATTTACTAAACTATGAAAAAGTAGTTTAACCTGGATTTAACTAAAATTGTAATAAATTCCTTTAAAACTTTTCAATCACCCACCAGGTTTTTATTCTATTCTCTCTTCAAAAACAAACCTGGAGTGTTGCTTTAATTCTTTCATGGATGTTTGGGAGCTGCGTCTCCGCCTTTGAGACGCAGATCCTCCCCTGCTCAGCTCCTTCAGACTAGCCAGCAACAATTAGCAAACACCTGGTGTATCTGATCTCATTGTAGGAGCTGCAGCTCAGTGAAATGCTGGTAAGAACATTAAAGGGTCAACAGAGGCAGAAGAACAGATTCAGCCAAAAACTGAATGTTTTGCTAACAGAAAATTGTTACAAGAAACAAAAAGGAAAAACAGCTGAAGCCTGGATATGAGGCTGCAGATGTCACTCATGTTTCATTTCTCTTTTGCTCAGTGGGAACCAGATCCGTCACTCGCCGGGTACCAAAGGACACCGTTTTTCTGAATGTGTGGCGGCAACAGTGAAGGCAGAGGGAAGCTAATAAATCCTCATTTAAACAGGATGCTGTCATTTGCAGAGATGAAAGAGAGGGATAAAAGCTTGTGCTGCTATGAAAGGCATATTATTCGGACGGTAATGCCTGCATGTCCTGGTTTTAGACATGAAAGAAAAAAAAAGTGAAGATTCAGTGAAGTAGTTCAAAGTGTTTTTTTGTAGTGGATCAAGCTAAAACTCTCACCTCTCAGCATGAAGGCGTCTCACACTGAGCTTTCAACATTTCTCTAAAATCCTGCAAAGTGTGAAGAAGAAAGGATCGGCAGATCTCCAAGAGCTTCAACAACCCAGAACGAATCAGCACGGATCAGCAAAATGGCCCCCAGAGGCACAAAGATAGCAGAATATAAACCCGAGGAGCAGCCAGAGGACCAAGAGACGAGCGTCTGTCATACAGTGGATGAATTAGAGAAGGATGGACAGGAACGAAAAGGAAAACCACAAAAGACGAGATGGAAGCTGTGCGCCCAAACCAAGATGGTGGACTGGAGTTAATCTGCAGTCAAACAGTCAAAATGGCTGATGTTGAACCAACCGGATGTTGAACCAACCGGATGTTGAACTGGGAGAACAGAAACGTTTTTTTCTGTGGATTTGTCTCTCTTCACCCTGCAGGTTTGTCTTCATCTCCCTGCTGCTGGTTTTCTCTGCTTGCAAACTTACCTCAGATTCAAACATGGAAAATATTTACACTATTATTGAGGCACGAACTCAAACCCCACAGAAAAACAAAAAGGTCCAAAATAACAATAAAACATGAACTTCAGAAACATGAAGAGATTTTTCAGCATGAGCTGCAACATATGATATCATGTTTATTGTCATGAAATGGTGAGTAGTGAGGTGGTGAGGCAGCACGCTGGAGACCCAGATATGGTGAATGATGAAATATTTAATGAAAATAGTCCACAACGTCAACAAAGTAGTCCGCGGCTAGGCAGCACGGCTGAGCAGAAGCCAGGGCTCACACCGGTAGCATCTAGTCATACAGGCGGTTAACAAAGACAAAAGAACGACGACTAACAACAACGACAATCTGACAAGGACCCGAGGAGGAACAAAGGACACAGGAGGGACTAAATACACTGAGGGTAATCAGGAGAACAAGACACACCTGGGAACAATCAAGGGGAAGACAGGACAACGAGGAGACTCAGGACACAGAAACTCGGAATTAAACACAGAAAAACACAGAACCTGACATTTATGTAATTACTCAGCACTTTCTACATTTGTCACGTCATTATTGTACTTTATTAATGATCAGGGATATTGTATATAAACATTTCTTTACATATGTTTATTAAATGAAATATAAAAATAAGCCATTTTTCCACCACATAAATTCCTCTATAGCTGGATTTGCCTCAGACTTTCCATCTGTTATTAGTATTTAATTGAGGTTTTTACTTTTTTATAATGTAGAAGTGAACCTACAGTTTAAAAATAACTGAAGAGATGAGATAATCTGTCTATTTTTTACATAATCTGTCATTTTCCAGCCATATAACTCATGGTTAATCCAATGTTATGACAGAATGGATGCTTCTGGGAGTCGGTGCCGTTTTCTGTGTTTCTGTCACAAAAAGCTAAATTTGTCAGGATCCTGACAGTGGAAAAGCAGACTATATAAAGACACAGATGGAAAAAAGCAATCTAAGAGGATTGTTCTATCTGGAATCTCCTATATAATTAAAAAGGAATCAAAATCATCCAGCAGTAGAGGCTGATGAAAAGAAAACAATCTGCATGTAAGATTTGTCAATATGTGGGAGAGTTTTCACAAATCTGAACTTCACAAACCAATTACATTTAAGGCTTTTGTCTTGAAATTCTGCATGTCCTCAGAGCGCCGAGTCGCTTCAGACCGAAACGCCGTGAAACCAGAAGCTTTAGTGAAATATGCTGGTGTGGAAAAATAAGAAACAAGTGTTGCTTCGGTTGAATACAAACTTTAAAAATTGAGGGATTTATAGCAAAAGTTCCTCCTGCTCAAATGAAACAGTTGATTTGAATCCAACTTCCATCTAAATAAGTTGTTTTAGTTTCCAAAGTCAGAACCGACTTCATTTAAAGGTAATTTCTTCCAGACATCGTCTTCATCTGCATTGATTGGTTAGATTGCAGTGTTTACCTTCTTTGCAGTGAAAATTAGATATAGATTTTGTTGTGAAGAAACGGCTGTTTGTTCTGTTTCTTTGCAGAAGCGACGCAGTGAATCGTCATCTGAGCAGCAGACATCATCATTATTCTCAGGATGATTGGAAGATGAGCTTCTGGTGGATAAAACATGGCTGCTTTCAATTGCCAGAATAATTGCATTAAATTTTGTTTGTTGGCAATCAGTAAATTTGAGAACAAAGTGGCAACATGATGAAACAAAAGTAACTGCATTTTATCATCTGATGACTTTACTTTGTCTCTAAAAACTTTGGACATTTTGGATTAGAAATCAAGTTTGAACAAAACTTTTTTTGTTTTAATTAGTCCTTCAATTATATAAGTATCCGAATAAAACCCTTTGCTTTATAAGAGTCTTGCTTTTAAGAGCATCTGGCTTCGCCGTCAAGGTTGTGGAAGTAAAAAGAAGCGAGTTGTTTAGCAAGAAGAGGAATTTGCTCTGCCTCATGCAGAGCAGCTCGTTTCCCACAGTATGATTTAAAAAATAAGATGCATTTTCATTTTAACGGCTTTTTTTATTTTAACAAAGAAATGATGAAATAGTTGCACACACCCAGCAGGATTATCCTATATTAAACTCACCAGGATAAATCTGTTTATGTCAGTGTTTGTGTCTCTCAGAAGCTCTGATTTTCAGATTTTGTCATTTTCAGTGTGTGTCTGTTTCTGACAGCAATGAAGGAAAAGAGAAAATAATGATGTTTTTCAAAGTAAAAAACAAGTCAGGCTTCTAAAAAAATCATTTTAAAAAGTTGCATGTTTCTCACTTGGAGTCAAAACATCATGGATTCACTGAGGCCGGCCTTTTGGAATGAAATAATTCAACTGTGATGGTTATCGCTCACAGATAAAGAGAATTTGGTTTCTCAGACAATTTGATCAGATCAACTAAGAGTTCATATGTTCAACAAAAATACAAATATTTCTGCAAAATATGGACATATATATTCCAATGCAGTGTGTTAAATTAAAGATAACTCATAAATAAGATTGAAAACACTGGAACTAGAAGCGGGCCCCCTTTGGCCCCCTCGGGCCCCGGCCTTACCCTGCATGCCGGTGGGGCCGAAGCCTTGGCGCGTGAGGAAGATGGCGTGGTCGTGATGTTCGGCGTGATCAGGATCGCCTTTCTGCTGCACAAACGCCCAGCGGCAAACGTTCTCCAGACTCCGTGATGGGTTTCCTCTCTCGATGAGGCTGATGGACTGGCAGACGAGGAAAAGGGAAAAGAGCTCAGCAATAAACAGCCCATCACTGTGTCTTGTTATTTCCTCTCAGGCAGCAGCACAACATGACGGGTTCATTTTCCTTGAGGACACAAAGTAACAAACTCTGCACAGAGTCTAAAGGGAAATAAGTCACTAGTAAGAATTATTTTACTTTATCTTTGTTTGATTTGAAGACACATAAAATGTGAATATCTGATTTTAATACAGACAGGTAAATCATAATTTGGGCTTTTTAATAATGTGGTGCTGAGGATCTCTGCCTGTAAATCTGACATTCACATCATTCCATAAATCTGGAACAAACTTCCAAAAACTACAAAAACGTCAATGATCAGGAAGAAAATCACACATTTTATTCCAAGAGAAAAAAACTGAATCATGCTGATATTTATGCCAGTTTCATCAGGAGGAATGGGTTCAAAATCCAGGAAGCTGTTTGTGGAAACGTTTAACACGATTCCAACATGGAATACATATTTCTACGCTTCTCGTCTGGATTTAAAGACAGTAATAAAAACGCAGCAACAGCCCCTCTTCCTAATTATTTTGACAATGCAAAAATAAATCATTGCAGGAATCCTACCTGACCTCACACAGAGAAAGAGAAAAGGTCATTCATGTTTGTACAGAGTGTGTAAAATTCAGGTTTCCTCTGAGCAAACTGTGTTTTTTTGTGATGCAGGCCAGCATAACGATGCTAATTACTGATATAAGGCGCTAAAGTCCATTAACAAATGGTCTCCCACACACAGCGCGACATAACCTCTGCTCTGAATATGAAGAATTAACAAAATCATTAAGCAGTTATTTATAAAAATATGGGGCTCAATGCTTGACAAAAAAGCTGAAAAATAAATGATTTATTTGGACGTTAAATCTTCCACAGGCATTGAACTGCATGACCTCCATTAGTTCACATGAATCTTTTGTGGTTTTTCTGCTTTGGGAGAAAAAACTTGAGGTTTTTCCCAGATCCATCGACTCTTTCTGTCTCCTCTTTTGTCTCTGGGAGATTTTACTGGGAAATCTCAGACTGGCTGTTTGTTTTAATTAGTTTTAATTATCTGTATATTTACCCCAGAAATGGCCGAATATTAAATAAAACCCAAGCACATTCACTTTAAGCCTTATTATTTTACTTTTTACTGATTTCTGTTTAATCCTATTATTTCTACTTTCAGATACTTTTGTTTTTCTACTAATTCAATACAATCTGCACTAAATCATCCCAGACAGAGCTAATTAAATCTCTCCGTGGGATTCATGTGAATATCAAAGCTCCTGGCTGTCAGGACTTCAAGTTGAATCTTTTTCACCAGTCGGTTTGAATATTACAAGAAATATTAAATGTTAAGTGGATGACTCTTGCATTTAGTGAAATATTGTTATCATTCAATGGACCAAAATCTGATTCTAATGATGATTTATGTTGAGAATGTCAGTGACTGCATTATTACCTATATAACAATATAAAACAATTCATACAAATAAGATCAGGCAAAAGCAGATTTTTTTCCAAAACCTGCAGGTCTGGTAAAAGTTTGGTGAAAACATGTTTGTTTTTCATTCAATGGGAAGAAAATCCAGAAATTTACTCAAATAAATGTAACAATACTTTATCATAAAACTACCCCAAAAAAAGTAAAGAGTAAAGCGCAGTAAAAATACTCCTAAAAGTAAATTTTTCCAAAAAAAAAAAAACAAAAGTAAATGTAATTAGTAGCTCTAACAGGATTAAAGTCTGTAAATGTGTTTAGAACGTCGCATATGAACAAACTAAAGGGAATATTGTCCTTCTGTGTGAAAACGATTCCTACTGGTGGATTTTCAGACTCACCTTGGCGTAACCCAGCATGATCATCCGGACCAGAACCACGTTGATGTGGACCCCCAGCGACTCGTCGTGGTAAATCTCGTTCACCTGGAAATGCAGCGGCAGGAGGGAGAGTTAGAAAATATTTCAGTTATTTACACAAACAGCCTCCGTGTCACCGGCCCGTTTCATCGCCCGATCGGTGGAGTCTGTGAGCCGACCTGTAATCACAGCCCTGAGCCGCCGCTGGAGCAATAAACAGCCCATCACTGTGTCCTGTTATCAGGGTTCATGGCTGCTGGAGGAGGAAAATAAACTGAGATCATCTGAACAACAGCGGCTGGACCCTCGTCTGAAATTGCAGACAAAAGTACTGACTTAAAACGTCTTAAGACGAATTTGGTGCTGCTTTTGAGAACGAGGAAAATTCAGGACAAGAAACAAAGCATGAAACGTCCAACATCAACATGTGAAAAGCTGCAAGACTTAATATCAATACATGCAGAACCATTTGTGGAATAACTAATAAATAATTAAATAGAAAAAGCAGTTCATAGAAGATTTTTTGTTTTGCAAAATTTGAACCAGGCGAAGCTAAAATGGCCACTTGATGAATTTTGGGCAGAACTTAATTCCAGTCAAAGTCTTGTTTTTTCACCTTATGTTAAAATCTCGATAGTTTTTGTTCTTTCTGAGTTTGTTTGCTCCAGTTGAAGGGGCAGAATGAGAATTGCCTGTTTTGAGTTTTACATCACATTATAATCATATATAAACCAAACCCGGATTGTTCCCTCGATTCGTTACGCATGTTTGAATAACTTTATTATCTCCATGGCAACCATTCTGCTGCAAAACGCCTGGTTGGACTTAGCTCCGCCCTCGAGACTCAGCTCCTCCTAAGAAGAGTTTCCAAGCCTCTGCCTCACAGAGCAGCCCTCCTCACTCAGCTCCTTCAGACTAGCCAGCAGCAATTAGCATCTAGCACAGGATTAATCCTGGGACATCGTGATTAATCAGATTAATTGTTTCAGCCCAACTTGTACCTTCATCCTCATCACCAGATAGCTGAGGGTTGGAATGTAAACGGACCGGTGCACCGAGATTTTTCTTCCCCACAACAAACCGGATCAGTTTCTGTTCATCTCCCGTTTCATCCCAGCAGGAAACGTAACGAGCAACAGAGTAAAAGCCGGTGGGGAAACGTGTGTGAAGGAGTCCAGGGTTCTGCACCGGCTGGCCTTCAAGCCCACAACCCGTCAGAGTGAAGAGAGTCAGAGTGATGAGTCAGCGTGAAGCCGCAGTGACATCTGCCCTCCCATCCCACCCCCGCGCCACCACTTCTGCCCTCTGGCGCCTCCCGACACACGCCGGCTCCTTCCTGATCCAAACATTTGCATATCCATCTTTGGTCTGCATGAACACCAAACTCTTCCAAACGCCCCGCTGAGCGCCCGGCTGGATGTTTGTGCATTTATGTAGAGAAAAAAACTTTTTGCTTTGCAAGATCATGTGAAAAGTTACATGATTTTGTTTAGGGAAACGTTGTGTATTAATCTAATAACTGAACCAGATCATGTTGATAGCATATTGATTCTCTGATATTGAGATTTGCAGAGATGTCATATTATGCAACGAGTGGAAACATGGAGATGAGACGTTTGTTGACAGACTGGTCGCAGTTCAGCCGTGCTGTGCAGAAAAATGATTGAGCAACGATCAAGTCTGTGAATAAATCAACATCTGGCTCTCCGCCTCCCAGAGCGCCGCCGCCGCTCTGCGCTTCACATTTTCTCTGGTCTGACGATTTCTCACTAAGTCGTCTGACTGTCCTCAGAGCAGTTTCTGTCCCTCATCGACTCGAGTGCTGCAGCTTCAAACAGCAAATCCATTCTGCCCCAGAAACTTCACATTTCTGATGAGGCCACTTTCCTGAATGTGGCTGCAGAAAAGGCTGGAGGACACAGATTAAACTGAACGCTCTACTGTCAGCTGCTCCTCCAGATCTGAACGGTACCACCAATCAGCACTATCGGCCGAAATGCTGATGCTGCAGTTTCTAAACTGCTTCCTCGCCGCTACAGCAGAGTTCATTCCCTCTGTGCACCACATTCGTTCAATCTCACTTTTTATGCAAGCAGTTGAAGAACACCAACACACAAACAATAAGAAGGGAAACAGGTAAGAGCTGAAGGTCTAATCAGTGCAGCAAACTCTACTGTCACTGAAGCCGACATGCATCCAGCGGAAAACACACAGAGTCGCCGGATATCAGCTTTAATGGCCCGTTTGTGTCTCTTTGGAGTAATTTCCTCTGTATTTATAGTCGCTTGCAGTCCGGCTGCAGGTCAGAGTGACTTTCAAATGATAAATATAAAATCTTTCAGCACCACAAAGACGATCGCAACAAAACTTAAAGCTGAGGGAGTTTTGGAGGACAAGCTCAGAATTGTGATTTTATTTAATTTTATTACAGTCAGTGAATATTTGGGCTCTAGCAGAATTTGTCTGGTCATCAGTTGGTTCTGAAAATTGTTAAACAATATAAAACTGACTTTCAACCGTAAAGGGCTAATTCTCTGCTTTTTATATTATCTGGACTAAATCTATAACATTTGAACATGTCAAATAAACTAAAAACAGATTAAAATAAATTAGCAAATAGATCAGTCTCACCTGCCCAACAATCTTTAGGATTTTAACTTCATAAACCAAATCAGAGCAAACACAGAAGGACAAAACACGGTGATATGTTACAAGTTTCCAGCTTAGAATATAAAACTGAATATTTATTTTACTACTTTTTTCCTCTGCTTTTAATAAAATCTGCATGCATGTGGGTCAAAGTTATACCTCAGAGGAGGTGGAGAGAATCTTCACAGAAACAACATGTGGAGAAAAATCAAGACTTTGGGTAAAAGGTCAGTCAAAAGAATTGGAAATCATGTTTTTTAGCATCATTAGCATTTCTATGGTCTTCTTTATAATTCACATTTAATTAAAGGGTTAATGTTATTTTATAGCCCAATCCAGTAACTGTTACCTTCAGTTGTTATAAAAATGTTGCATATATATCAAACATGACTTAACAGAAATTTGGCTTCACAATTTAAGGCCTTGAAATTGGCGTTCTGTCTCTTTAAGAGGAGCGTCAGGCTTTCTTCCTGTCGTTAACTCCCACTCCCCCCACTGGAGACCATCAGCATCGGGTCGCTGCAGTGAGGAGGGTCAGAGGGCAAAACGCGCCTCATCCTGTCTGTGAGCAACATGGAGGGAGGATGTCGACAATCCTCCACTCTCTATGAAAACGGAGAAAAATCCTAACAAAGAGGCTCAAAAATCTGTTTTGGAGTCTAAAATTAGACCAATGGGGAAAAATAATACGATTTGCAAACACCCCATATGGATCTCCAGATGCCTTTACAGTCTGCTGTGGATGCAAACATATTTATTATTAGTTATCAAGACATGGCTAGAAGCTGCAGCAATCATTTTAAAATATATAATAAATGTCTTTTCAGCTGTGAAATCATTAATAACTTCCACTGTTGATAGAAACTGACTCTGTTTTAGAGTTTAGAAAACTAAGATGAGTTTTAATGAGGACAACAGAAAACTCTCACCTGAAGGTGTTATTAGAGTTGAATAGATGAGCTAAACTGACAACATAAAGCCAAGTTATTAACCATAATTACATATAATGAAGCACAGAATTAATTAGTTATTTTCATTCAACTTGTTTTAAATAGAAATTGTTCAGCCACCTCTGAAAACAAAATCACTTTGATAACTTTTGGATTTACATTTTGATTAAAATAAACTTCATGATAAATAGTTTTAATACACTTTTCAATTAATAATCATCATTACAGGAATCAGGAACTGCAATCAGCTTTTCGCATGACTTTCTTGTTTTCTTTTTATCCTCTGGTGTAAACTTAGAAGGCCTCCTCTCCATCACCCTAATCTTTCTGTCTCATCACAGATCATCTACTAGATCCAATTGTTACGTCATCATCCAGGAGAAGCGACGGCTGCAAGGTCAGCGACTCGACCTGATCCTAATTACTGGATCGAACCGACAGCATCGTTCTGGATTTGTTTTGTGACGTCACAAAGTGAGATTTTTCATCTTTGGCCAGATAAATGTGGAGACTGAGCCAGTCCAAGTCGTCCAACATCAGTGTCCGACCTCAGAAATGCCTTTCTGCGCGAATGGTCAAACGGTGAGGTTTTTCTGTGTGTTAATTTAGGTTTCTGTGTCGTTTTCAGTTCATTTAGTCTCAGTGTTTCTTGTTCCTTGTCGGGTCCTTGTCTAATCTGTCGCGTTTTGTCTGCAGTCAAGTTTGTCTGTTGTCAAATCGCGACACAAACATTCCCATAAATACACATAAAACTTGAAGTCAGCTTTTCTGAAGGGGCTTATAAGTCAATATCACATGATTAAATTAGAAAAAACGTTCATATGGTCAAAAATTTACAAGAAACAAAACATAATTTCTGGTTTTCTTCATTTTGTCTAAGAAATGTGTTCATCAAACCTGGTTACCAATCAGTTGATAATAATGCACTCCATAAAAAGCCAAATCAAGCTGATTTTCCCCCTCCAGCTGTAAACACTAAACTCCAGACGGACGTTTTGCTCCTTTTCTCAGGGAAGTGCTGCTTGGAGCTGCTGTTTGGACAGAAAATGAATCTTCGCTGGACACAACATTTCTTTGAAGCCTGTCTCGGAGACTGAGGCGGAGTGTAATAACCTTCCCCTCCGACACTTTTCTGAAAGATGTGAGGCAAATGTGAAGCTCTTATCGATCTCTTGACTCCCTGAGAGGGAGAACTGATGGCGCAGAAACGCCGCCTGTGTCTTTTTATCTCAGCAACAAAGAGAGAAGCGGCTTCACCTTCACCATCTGCAAACTAACAGACACAGAAGATTCCAGACACAGGAAGGACGCACGACTCTGTCAGCCAAATGTGTTATAAAATGCAGCTAATGTAGCTGCTATAAAATGTACCGACTCCAGCCCATCGACTGAGTCTCCCTCTACCTCTTTGCTTCGTCATTCCTTTAAGACTTCTGCCACATTTTTTCCTTCCTCTCAACTTTCTTA